TTTTTCCCATGATTTCTATTTGGCAAAATAGGTACATGTATATATAGTGCTAATTTGTACAAACTGACAAGGCAAAAAAAAGCAGACAATAATGACATTTATATTAAATTCCCAGACGAAATAACTTCACCCCTTATTTAGCATATAATGTTGTTTTGACTTATTTCCAAAAAAATGTTCACTTAATTTTAAATAATTTACCAAATGGGGAAATATTTACACTACAACGTATCAAATATAGAAATTAATCTTTATCTTATATATTATCATGTATTAAACACACAGTAAAACAGGGAATTTTTTTATCAAATAGTCCATCTATGAAAATTATTAAAAAGATAAATATTATAATACATTTATTTCATTGAATCTGTTTTGTTCTTGGTGTGTCATGATAAATATGATCACAAAATATTTATATGTATTTACATTTTATTAGAATGAATTGTTCAACAACAATAAAAATCTGTTTAAAATTTAACACCAACAGATAAGTAAATCACTGTAAAAACACAGGCACAGGTCCCAAGCTAACAACAACCTGATCAAAGACATAGGTAAACAAGCCATTAACATAACCAAGACTAAATGTGTTAATTAGTAAATAATATTATCTGTAGAGTGTTTGGAGGTTTAAGATTAAGAACAACTCAAATATTTTTTGTTTATCTATACACATTCAAAATATGTTTTTTTGTTATAATTTAATATATCATAAATTTGAGGTTTCGATTTTATTTTTACAGAAGAAAAAGTTATAAAAAAATAATCTAAAAATAGGCCTTTTAAATATTAGTTTTTTGTTTCATGAGTTTTATATTCATGATATTGTCCATTTTAAAACATATAAAAATTAATACTTAGTCATTAAAAATAACTACTTATAAATAAAAGAGACATAAAAATACTAATTGGAAACTTTTGCAGTAAATATGTTGCATATAAATACCCCCAAAATTGAATATTTTTCCTAACATTTTGAAAAATTTCAAAATAAAAAGTTTTTTTTTTTTGTATTTACATATATAATTTAATAAGATTTGAAACTTTTTTCATTTTGTTTAAACTACCTACACTGCTGAACTACATTTCAGATAATCTTTAAGATATCCATATAAAATGTTGAAAATAGGTTTGAAATTCAAGAAAAACACACTATTTTGCAAATACTCAGATGCAATCATAAAACAGAATATTAGCATGATTAAAACAGATTAAAATGTTCCGAAACTGTTAATTGATCAAGAGGACAACAAAAAGTATAAATTTTAATTCATTTACTCAGGGATTTTTCAATTCAATATTCTATTATAGTCTCACTGATTGCAATACATAAATTTACAGACTATTACAGTACATACAGAGTATATACACAATATAAAACAGACAATTAACAAATATAAAATATAAATACTATTCTATTAAGAATTATGAGAGACTGTAAAATAAATTCTATATAAAACTATTTTATTACATACGACTGTTAAAATAATTTCATTTTAAGAATATAAAAAGGTATTTCTTCTACTTTAAATATTAAAGCAGGTTTTGAAAACCATATCCTAACAATTAATATTTTGAAATAAATACACAATCTTATCATTATCAGACAAATCATAAAAATCTACATTATACTTCATAGCCTCACTATATAACGGGCATGATAATATGACATGTTTTTCATCTTCAATTTTATCATTACACATAAAATACACTCTTTTGTCTACATTTTTATTTTCATACCGCCCTGTTTCTATTCTCAACGGAGCTACTCTGCATCTAAATTTTGCAAATGCACTTCTATATCTATACGATAGATTTTTAGATGAATATAATTCACTTCCATAATTGTCTTTAAACAATTTATTAGTCCGTTATTTTTTATCAACATTTTGTGTCAATATTCTATTTTGCCAGTTTTCTATATAATTATCAAATCAGGGATCAGCTCATGCTATTTTAGGGATGGTGCTGCTCCACTCATCAATTTATAGAACCACCTTTGGATTCCAAGAATCATTCTTGATTTTTAAACACACATATTTATGTATGTAATTTTATTGTAAAAATTATAAAATTTGGATATAATTACCCATTAAGAAAAATTGTACCAAATTTTAGTTTCAAGCAAATTAAAACTAGATTTTAGAAAGTCATGCACCTAACCTCACTTGATACCTAAATCAATTGTTTGACTGATTTATAGTTGTTTAACGAACTTTCAGCACTGTTGGCTATTTTGTGATGGCCAGTTTTAAGTGGTGTAGGAACCCTGAGTGCCTGGAGAGAACAACCAATCTTTGACAGAAAAAAAATGGCAATCCTAGTCAATTAAGATTCTTGAGTCCAACACACCTGTCATGTAAAGGATGCAAACTCACAACCTCAGTTAGTGATACTGAATTACTTAGACCATTCGGTTACTTAGGCCCCTCTATCCTTGTATGGATCACCATTAAATGAACATTCTCATGATAAGACAAGAAATGATTGTAACAGGATGCTGTTACGAAGTCTCCCAAACGAAGCTCCCATAATTCGTAATTCCCAGGGTCGCCTGACATTGGGCAACGTCCAGTGAAAATTGGTTTGGTCCAGTAAAGTTATATGCATTAGTGATGCCTGGGGACTAACCTTGTATATCATTCAAATCATCTTGGCATGACAAACCAGAATATATATGGTTTAGGGGTGGGGATCTCGACCATTTACAAGATACTAGAACATTGGGGGTGGGGAGGAACCCCTGGGGACTGGCCCTATACGTCATTCAAATGTTCATTACATGACGAACAGGAATATATATGGTTTAGGGGTGGGGATCTCAACCATTTACAAGATATTAGAACATTGGGGGTGGGGGGAACCCCTGGGGACTGACCGTATACGTCATTCAAATGTTCGAGACATGACAAATAGGAATATATATGGTTTAGGGGTGGGGATCTCAACCATTTACAAGATATTAGAACTTTCTCAAGGGTAGGGGGTCGGGATGACCCCTGGGGACTAACCCTGTATATCATTCAAACCATCTTCGCATGACAAACCAGAATATATATGGTTTAGGGGTGGGGATCTTGACCACTTACAAGATATTAGAACTTTCTTAAATGGCAGGGGGTGGGGGTGACCCCTGGGGACTAACCCTGTATTTCATTTGATGTGCTTTATCATGACAAACCAGAATATATATGGTTTAGGGGTGGGGATCTCGACCATTTACAAGATATTAGAAACTTTCTCAAATGGCAGGGGGTCGGGATGACCCCTGGGGACTAACCCTGTATATCATTCAAACCATCTTAGCATGACAAACCAGAATATATATGGTTTAGGGGTGGGGATCTTGACCACTTACAAGATATTAGAACTTTCTTAAATGGCAGGGGGTGGGGGTGACCCCTGGGGACTAACCCTGTATAACATTTGATGTGCTTTATCATGACAAACCAGAATATATATGGTTTAGGGGTGGGGATCTCGACCATTTACAAGATATTAGAACTTTCTCAAATGGCAGGGGGTCGGGATGACCCCTGGGGACTAACCCTGAATATCATTCAAACCATCTTAGCATGACAAACCAGAATATATATGGTTTAGGGGTGGGGATCTTGACCACTTACAAGATATTAGAACTTTCTTAAATGGCAGGGGGTGGGGGTGACCCCTGGGGACTAACCCTGTATTTCATTTGATGTGCTTTATCATGACAAACCAGAATATATATGGTTTAGGGGTGGGGATCTCAACCATTTACAAGATATTAGAACTTTCTCAAATGGCAGGTGGTCGGGATGACCCCTGGGGACTAACCCTGTATATCATTCAAACCATCTTAGCATGACAAACCAGAATATATATGGTTTAGGGGTGGGGATCTTGACCACTTAGAAGATATTAGAACTTTCTTAAATGGCAGGGGGTGGGGGTGACCCCTGGGGACTAACCCTGTATTACATTTGATGTGCTTTATCATGACAAACCAGAATATATATGGTTTAGGGGTGGGGATCTCGACCATTTACAAGATATAAGAACTTTCTCAAATGGCAGGGGGTCGGGATAACCCCTGGGGACTAACCCTGTATATCATTCAAACCATCTTAGCATGACAAACCAGAATATATATGGTTTAGGGGTGGGGGATCTTTACCACTTACAAGGTATTAGAACTTTCTTAAATGGCAGGGGGTGGGGGTGACCCCTGGGGACTAACCCTGTATTTCATTTAATGGGCTTTATCATTTAGAACATTTTCAATTAAAAAGATTGTGTCTATCACAAACAGTTTTCAATTTATAATCATTTGAAAATTTTAAAAAATAAAATCCCATAGGGTTCTATAGTAAAACCCTCTTTTCTTTTTGCCCCTCAAAGTACCCCATTGCACAAACAAAACCCTGATTGCACCACTAGACATGTTAGTCTAACATATTGTGAAACCCTAAGTTAATCTGACAAGCGGTTTTGGAGAATGGGTGCAGACAAGTTCAAATTTAAAAGCGGCGGCGGAAGAAGAAGAAGAAGAAGAAGAAGAAGAAGAAGAAGAAGAAGAAGAAGAAGAAGAAGAAGAAGAAGAAGAAGAATAAGAAGAAGAAGAAGAAGAAGAAGAAGAAGAAGAAGAAGAAGAAGAAGAAGAAGAATAATAATAATAAGAACTGAGCAAAAACAATAAGTCTTCCCAAACTTCGTTTGGGAGACTTAATAAACATACAGAGGCCTACATAAAGTAAATTCGGAAATTATTGTGTGCATTTATTATTGCGATTTTTGAAAGATGGATAAAAATGTGAGATTAATTATTGCGATTTCAGGAAAATCTGCATATAGAAGTATATAATTAGATATCAGAATGTGAGTTCTCATTATTGCGATACTCACTCAGTCACATTATTTACAATAATAAAAACATCGCAATTATTTCTGAATTTACAGTATATATATTCCCATCTTAAATGGGCCAATTTTGGTTGTACATGAATGACATAACTTACCCTTTGCTGAATAAGAAATCTACAAGCTTTTAAACATGCTTCCAACTCAATTACAGCTGCCAGCTTGAACTACAAAATTAGAAAATAATTATTTAATGTATTTTTTTTAAAACATAGAGTTTATTGTTTAATATTTATCAATATTCCTATATATGTCACAATCAAAAGTAGACTTCTAAATGACTAAAAGTATTGTTTTATATTTTAATTTGACTTTTAGTTGACTTTATGTGCCTGTCCCAAGTCAGGAGACTGTAGTTCAGTGGTTGTCTTTGGTTCATTGTCTGTCATATTTGTTTTTTCGTAAATTGTTTTGCTATAAATTTGGCCGTTAGTATTTTCAATTGAATTGTCTCATATTTTTCATGTCAGGGCCTTTTATAGCTGACTATATGGTATGGGTTTTTCTCATTGTTGTAGGCCATACAGTTGCCTATAATTGCTTACATCCACTTCATTTGAACTTTGGTGAATAGTTGTCTCATTGGCAACCATACCACATCTCCTTATTTTTATATTGCAAGCATTTATTTTTATATTGAAAGCATAGATTTAGATTTATATGTATGGTGTGTTCCAAGGGTTGTAACCCTCCCCCTTTTCTTTTTTGTTTTAATCATGCTAAACCAATGAAATTAGGCTTGAAACACCCGCTTTTTTATATCTTAATCCACCCTTTTGCCATTTCAGAGTCTTTAATAGCTTGGTATTCAGTATGGGTTTTGCTCATTGTTGAAGGCCATACAGTGACCTATAGTTACTAACTTCTATGCCATTTGGTCTCTGATGGAGAGTTGTCTCATTGGCAATCATACCACATCTTTTTATTTCTATATGTATACTGTATCTGTGCCTCTCATAACGAAGGATTTCAAAGTTGAAAAGGATTGATTGGGACACTTACCTTGCTATAATTAAGTATGCATTCTCTGTATTTATCAATGATATCTGCAGGATTAAGTGCAGTCTTGGCCACAGGGTCAGCTAATTCCTGCAAGCCATTGGTAGTATAATTGTGCTTTAAACTTCCTACAAAAAATATACAGGTTAATATTTTATATAATTGTGTTCAAAACTTTACAATTGTCAGCTGATAAATAAATTCCAAACTGTTAGCCATTTTGAATGACAGAAAAAAAACTCACAACTCCAGAAGAGACTATTCAATATTTAATGTTTATGCTACCTGCATCTATAAATGTTTTCAACCATTTTGACATACTTTGATCGTTTCAACAAAAAGTGGCATTACTTTATACACAAGCAACTTTTTCAAATTCAAATTTTTATTGAAAAAGAGGTTCTTTTAAAAATTACAACCAAACATTTCTTTTGTAAATATTATTAACCATATGTTAACAGAAGTGCATGCCTATTCTTACAGATTTTAATAGCATACAAAATTTATCAGACATCTTGTTAATTCTTTCATGAAGCAAAAAAAATTATCCTCATGTAACACAAATTGCCATCCTTGACACATTGAATTAAAGTTAATATTGACACCTTTGGGTCCAAGACGGGTCTTTTGAAATTATTCAAATATAATTATTACTGGTTTTAGTTATTTTAAGTTTTAAACCTATAAGAGTTATATGTAAAAAGATAACCAAAATTAATTTGTTAAAGTATATTCCCCTGTCTGAACAACAGAAAATTAGGTGTCAACTTTCAAAAGTGAAGAATTATCTGTATATAGCTTTTTGACCCTATTTTACGTTTAATTATCATAGTATTTAATTTATAGCTTTTGAATGTTAATTTCAACAGCAATTAGAGCAAGCAAAAGATTAATAATACCTCTTTATTGACATTAAACATGTTAAAAAAAACTCATCAGAAGTAACAGTACTACTCTCTATTTCAACCCGAGTTATTGGTCTATATTTTCGAAATCTCTAAACCTTTAATCAAACTGCTTAGAATATTTCACAATTGATATATTTAATTTTCAGTCGTAACTCGAGTAAATCGACTATACAGATAAGTAAATTAAATACTTTTTTTTGCAATATCTTTCAAAAAGAACCTTCTATATCTTTTTGGCTCTGGTGGAGAGTTGTTTCATTGGAAATCATACCACTTCTTATTTTTCAATTAAAAAAAATAGACGGTGAAGGATTTTTTACACCGTTGAGACATTCCATTTAAAAATGCAATCAAAAGAACACACCTGCCCTGATTTTGGTTTCCTTCCCCATGGAAGAACCTGGCTTGATAGACATAGACTCCACCCGTCGAAGTGTCGGATTTTTCACTCTTGGATAGACTAGTATTACTGAGGCTGAACACAACCCTTCAAAACACGCTGAAAATATAAGCAAATAATTTCTAATATTTTTATAAACCTTGGATTACAGATTTATCCAATTCATTATAGCAAAGACCCCCGAGAATTTCGAGTAAATACAGGTCATGATTTTTTTCCAAGAAATTAACAGAAAAAAAAAGCAAGAAATTTTCTGACAGATTTATCCTGTGTTTGTATATTTAATTAAACATCAGAGCCCCCCAAAAATATATAGAAAATCATTTTACTAAAACATACAGATGTCTTTTTTGTGTGGCGTTGGGTTACTGTCTCACGGACTTATTTCCCACAGCCAATATATGCTTATACAGATGGCTTTTTGATAATGTCATATAATTACTTTTATTGTGATGTCAAGACTCTTGACATAAGTACTCTCTTCAGTTATTAGTATCTAAATTAATATAAGTATAAAGTTTATAGATCATAATCGCATTAAAAGTTTAAATTTCAGACAAAAATTATGGCCTTACTCGACTTCCCTCATTTCAAGTTTAAACCATATTCATATAATCATGGTAATCATTTCATCAATAAAATAAATATATCTAATTATAATTTGTGTGTATTACAATTATCCCAAAAAATCTATGTAAATTTGAATTATCATAATAAATGTAAGACGTCATAAATTTTGTACATCTGAAGGGCTTATTTGGATCCACTTTCATCAGGAAATGCTAAAATAAATAAATTGAAAGCTAAGGATGTATAAGTACTTAAAAATGTGAGGAGGTAAGAAGCTTTTTGATCAAAATGGGACATAAAAAGAAAAGCTAAATCCATCTAAGGTCAACTTTGCCTGAGTGAGTGGGAACTTTACTTTCTTTAAAATAATTTCCAAATTTATCAACAGAGAATTTAAGAAAAATGTGTAAATGCCTTCATAATGTTTTAATCTATTTTAGCTTACCACCAATCCACAGCCAGTCATTCACTGGTTTCAGGATATCAATAGCTGTCTCATAATGTAGAATAGCCTCCCCTGATATACCGGCTTGTAAACACAAGTCTGCCAAATGTTTACGTAGACGACCCTGGCATTTCTTTCTGAATGATCTATAAAATATGGAATAAATTTACATATATCTATGGAAAACATATGGGAAATAATTTGGTATTCGGCGTTTGGTTTCTTTTTGTATCTTTTTTTTTAAGTTCTAAAACTTTATCTTTTATTCTGTGGGTTGTGTTGGTGTGAGAATAGTATTAATGGAACAAGTGGGTTTTTCAAGCAAAAATTAATCCATTGTGATTCACCGTTTTCGTGACAGGAAACCAAACAGGAAACAAAACTTTATTTTCTTTATTTTGCACAATTTATTTCAAAAGACATAAGTGAACACAATTACTAGTGTTACTTGCTTCATGTTAATATTTAAAATCTATTTTCAATGTTAAATTAAGGTTATTTTTAAATGCGACAGGAAACCATAAGAAACCGAAAGCATTTTTTTCAGTTTTATTTTATTGGAAAATCAGCTTAAACATGTTAAAATAATCTGAACAGTAAACTTTTTTTTGATAATGTTACTTATAACTTTGGTTTTTAAATTTAGGACTGTTTTTGATAATTTTTTTCCAATAGACAATAAAAACTATGAGAATATAGAAACTTTGGTGTCACTAAAATAAATTATTTTTTGGGCGCCAACTGATTTTGACTACCAATGTATTTTCTCTTGCTTTTTGTTATAATTCTTATACACTTTTATATGTAGCACATGTGCCTACTAACCCTTAGAAACCCAATGCAGTGTGCTAGCTAGCTCTGTAACACAATTGCATGGTTTACACTTTGTGCTTATGCGTCACTAACCAGAAAATTCAAGCACTGTATAAACTGGGAGATCTAGCTAGTGCTATTTATCTTATATAATGTATTTTTCTATAAAGGGCTGTTCCAGAACTGAATGTATGGGGGTGTTGGGAGGCACTTTCTCAGCTCTCACTTTTGATTCAATTGGAAAGATGCAGGACATTTTAAATTTCTAAATTTTATTGAACACAAAACAAAAAGCGTGATCCAACAAACATATTAATGTTTGGAACATCCAATATGTTAGTGATAAATATAAAATTGAGAATGGAAATGGGGAATATGTCAAAGAGACAACAACCCGACCAAAGAGCAGACAAAAGCCGAAGTCCACCAATGTGTCTTCAATGCAGCGAGAAAATCCCGCACCCGAAGGTGGTCCTCAGCTGGCCCCAAAATAAAATTGTGTGCTAGTTCAGTGAAAATGGATGTCACACTGAACTCCAAAACATATAAATGAACTAAAATTAAAAAACATACAAGACTAACAAAAGCCAGAGGCTCCTGACTTGGGACAGGCGCAAAAATGCAGCGGGGTTAAACATGTTTTGTGAGATCTCAACCCTCCCCCTATACCTCAAGTCAATGTAGAAAAAAGAAACTCATAGCAATACGCACAGTAAAACTCAGTTTAAAAGAAGTCCGAGTCCGATGTCAGAATAGGTAACAAAAGAAACTAAGCAAAATGACAATGATACATAAATGAAAAAAGGACTACTAGCAGTTACTGACATGCTAGCTCCAAAGTTGGCAAACCTCAATTAAACTGATTGAAAGATTAGGTCTTCATCATATGAAAATCAAGTACAATCCCTCCCGTTAGGGGTTTAGTATCATACCATCATAAAATATATGAGAAGAACATAACCTGTATCATGCCAACAACTGGTTTTAGAATAAATGTGCAAAGACCCTATGATTGAATCAATTTTAATACCAAAATATGCCATCCTTAATGATTTTGATGTCCATTTTATCCACAGTATAAGTAGTATCTTGTAACGTCCACCCTGTCCCTTGCTTTTTGTAAAATTGCATGTTTTTATATAGATTAGACTGTTGGTTTTCCCGTTTGAATGGTTTAACACTAGTAATTTTTGGGGCCCTTTATAGCTTGCTGTTCGATGTGAGCCAAGGCTCCCTGTTGAAGACCGTACTTTGACCTATATTGGTTTACTTTAATAAATTTTGACTTGGATGGAGAGTTCTCTCATTGGCACTCATACCACATCTTCTTATATCCAATAAAAGTTTTAATTGTTTTACATTTGTGTATTCAGGACCTTTTATAGCCGACTATGTGGTATGGGCTTTGCTCATTGTTGATTAGGCCGTACGGTGACCTATAGCTCAGCTGTAAATTTCTGTGTCATTTGGTCTCTTGTGGAGAGTTGTCTAATTGGCAATCATACCACGTCTTCTTTTTTATATAGACAAGATTCCATATACAAAACATTATTTTGCGGGTTTATAGAAATTCAATGAAATCCTATAATTGTTCACACCCATTCATTACAACTGCTGGAAAATTACAATTAAGTACCATGGATTACAGAAATATAACCAAAAAACTCATATACCAAAATTAATAGCCCGATTTATTTCACTCAATTTCTTACCAAAATTTGTGACCACAAATATATAAATCTGATTAAAAAAAATTCTGGTAAGTTGTTATTGGGCTCGTTTCTCTAAAGGTCACAAGTTTGATTGTAACTTCTTATCATTCAATACAAATTATGACCGATCTTCAAAGTCACAAGTCCTTAGATTAAACAGAACCCTAGTTCCTTTCAGCAAGGGCAACTGTAAAAAGCTTATTTTACATGTCAACATTAAAGTGACATGTTATTTCATGCAATGTTTTATCATGGCAAATTTGATATAGGTGAACATATTTTCAAAGCAAAATGTTACTTTTAAGTTGAAAAGAAAAGTGTTTTGATATATTGGCCATGCAGGCAGTGAACCGGCACTATTTACCTGAAGGGAAATAACACTTTTGAAAAGCTATGAAATTGTGAGGCATACAACTGAACTGGATACAACATTGGCGGTTTCCATGTATTGATTTACTAATGGCATACTTATGCATTTAGATTTGCATCTCTGGTTAAAATCTGTCTTAAATGTAATAGTATTACTATAAAACTCCTAAATATGTGTTTGTTTTGAAAAAAAATAGTGCAATTTATTCATAAATTTCCACGTTTTCTTAATTGATACAGGATACCATAATCGTTGTATCTTGATGTTTTAGCTAAAAAAAATGTAATTATTGGTTTTGAAATTCCAGTTTTATACAATTTATTCCAAAGTCAAATTCCTATTAATCCAGTAAAGTAAAAAAACTTTTAACTTGGAACTAAAATCTTATAGTAGGCATCATGTGATATTTGTGACCTGTACACCATCTACATGGTTTCCACATGTTAACCTTCTTTAGTGGGCTAAAATCGATAAAGTACTTCCTTTTAAGTCATGCATGGTAAAAGTATACTTCTCCTTTGACAATATTATTGCATTTTTGAAAAGTGTTTGCTGAATATTATTAAAATTAAAAAAAAAAAAATTGTTACAAAGATACCAACTCTGTACATTCCAAGTGTAACGGTATATCAACATGTATTTTTTTTAAAAATTATCTTCATTTACCTAAAATATCAAGTACAATTTACTGCTAAAGTAAAATCAATTCAACGAGCACCGGCAGAATGATAAGAGACGTAATGTTGAATGAATTCTCCAATGAATCTTTTCATCGTTATCCGGAAACAAAGTGTGTTGTAACGTCCCTCGAATAAGAAATCGATTTTGTCAAGTCATTGGGCATTTATTTTCACTTAAGATAGTATGTAACATTATGCACGTAGGAAAAATAATAGACCCCCGTCGCGATCTCTTTGAAAATTGTATTTTCCTTTTTTAAACAATATGAAAACAGTCTACAGAATGTGCTTGCTACTATCCCGTTGGAAACAAAAAATGATGTTTAGACCTAATATTTCATATACCCGGCCGTAAGCGCTTAATCACATGTTCGCCACATGTTTCACGTATGACCAGAAATGATTTGGACTGAACGACAAAAACAATTTTAATAAATAAAAAGTAAATAACTGGACTTCTGTTTCGTGTGAAATGTAACGCATAACGATAATGCATTTTCTAACTTAATTATTAAGAAGAACAAAACTAGAATGTAAATAATCACTGATTTACCTGTTTGAACATCTCGCGAGAGTTCATATTTGCATATTGTTATGAAGAATTCATTTACAATAAAGCAGACTACACCATCTAAAATTTGCGTTACGAAATCGGAAACCAAAGTAACGCTACTTTTCTTACACCTGCTACAAAAATAGTTATAGTTCTCGGCAATTTCTTCTGACTATTCTTTTTGATCGATGTTCTTTATTATTTGAAAGCAAAATTTACGATTTTGCAGGCGACGATTATCTTTAAATCGAGCAGCGTTACGCACTTCGGAAGCGAAAATAACGCTAAGAAACGACACACAAAAGTGGCCTAATAATCTTAAATATTTGTTTATTTCAAGTTCTCTCTAGGGGAGATTAGAAAGCACCTATATTTTAATAGAAATAATAGCATTTGATGGTGGAGCAACAACTGCTCTCAACAAAATACAATATTTTATCACTTTTTGTATCGTTATCGGAAACGGTCCCAATACCAAATTATTGCCCATATCATATATAAATTACTTCATACAAGTATCTTGAGGGGAGATAACTTACTTTGTATTAATATTTTGAGGTAAGATAACATACTTTGTATGTGTATCTTGAGGGGAGATCACTTACTTTGAATCAGTATCTTGAGGGGAGATAAGTTACTTTGAATCAGTATCTTGAGGGGAGATAACTTACTTTGAATCAGTATCTTGAGGGGAGATAACTTACTTTGTATCAGTATCTTGAGGAGAGATAACTTACATTGTATCAGTATTTTGAGGGGAGATAACTTACTTTGTATCAGTATCTTGAGGGGAGATAGCTTACATTGTATCAGTATCTTGACAGGAGATAACTTACATTATATCAGTATCTTGAGGGGAGATAACTTACATTGTATCAGTATCTTGAGGGGAGATAACTTACTTTGAATCAGTAACTTGAGGGGAGATAACTTACATGGTATCAGTATTTTGAGGGGAGATAACTTACTTTGAATCAGTATCTTGAGGGGAGATTACTTACATTGTATCAGTATCTTGAGGGGAGATAACTTACATTGTATCGGTATTTTGAGGGAGATAACTTACTTTGTATCAGCATCTTGAGGGGAGATAACTTACATTGTATCAGTATTTTGAGGGGAGATAACTTACTTTGTATCAGTATCCAGACCAACATAGTCTTTTTTCTCAAATGGAGCACAAATAAGCTGCATTCTATCAGCTCTTTCAAATGACCTGTCCAAGCGCTTCCCATCCAAAACAAAAAATATGGAAGAAACGAATTCCTTTAATTTCTCTTCTAAATCCGGACATTCATCAATGCATGGGAAGAAAACAACTTCAGCTCCAGTACTTTCTTTGGTTAAACTATTACTATGGGGTCTGCCACTCATTTCTGGATCATTTTGAATTTTGTTATCTTTGGTACAGTCTCCTTCACCACAAACTTCTGTTGGACTGAGATCAGAAGTTACTCCACTGTCTTCACTATGTACAGGTGAAGTCTTTCCACTTTTTAAAAATTTTCTTTTATCTTCTTCCGACAAAGGAGAACCATCACGGTTCATTCCAAAAATAATTAATCTTGAATTAAATAGAGTATCTGAATATTCCTCCTTCACCTTTTTGTAACAATCAAATAATTCTTCAAATTCTTGAATATTTGAGCACTCTCCAACTGAAACAAGTCCAAGAACTTTTCTATGAGCTTGAAAATCTCCCCATTCATTATTTTCTTTCGGGTAAGATCTTTTGTACCTAACCCATGCTTTTCTTTTTTGTCCTGGTATCCCGATACAATTACATTTGTGTATCCTTTCCCATGCTCTGTTAAATGTCTTATTATTAATAAGGGTACCAGTCTGGTTTACCAGTACCAGTAAGCTTTGATGATCTTCTGCTAGTTGACCATAATCAATGATGAGACTCATGATGAAAATCAAGTCGTCATTGTATCTAAAACAAAGAAAACTCATCATCAGTTGTTACAGATAAGATAATAGTTACTATTTAATAACAAAAAATTAAACTCACTCAAAATATTTTCTAACTTCACAGACATGTATAAATGTACATGTAAATTATGAATAAAATATGTAACATTGTGTAACATCCACTTTTGAAAACTAAAGTTCAGTTTTTTAGTTCATGCTATACTCAAATTGCTGAATTGTATTTGATGAGGCAGGGAGGCTACTATTCTTTTTTTATCTGGTACACAAGAAACGACATGTAATCTGGATTCATTTATTTTTTGTGTACCAACTTTGTGGATTGAAGAAACATTTTTTTTCCATAGACACTTGATTTCAAGATTTTGCTTGCATAAAGCCTGTAGGAAATGTATGTGTCATTGAACATTTAAAAACCAACAAAACTTGGAACCCAACAAATAAAAAATAATCTGCAATTCCTTGCATCATGTGCATGATACCAACAAAGACATTATATTATCTTGGTAATGTGTGTTACAATATACTGCTGGATCACATTGGAAATTGAATAATGATAATACTTTACACCATTCACATAAATCATGTTAATGTTTCATTGACCAAGATCAATACACAATTTGTAATAATCATGATAATATTCAAAGAATTTCAAGAATTTACCCATTTCAAAACTCCCTATCAAAATCAATAATTTTTCTATACCCATGATACCCTACAGTCAGCCGTAATATTTCAAATAATACTGTAGATTTATTTATTTTTGTGGATTGAGGAAACCTTGCATTTTCATTGATACTTGATTTCATGTTTTGCCAATCCCTGTATACAAAGCCTATAGAATGTTTGTAATTCGTTGAACATGTGAATTCCAGGTTCACCTGTACCCATGAAACCCACGAAAATTGGTATCCAACGAATAATAATTAATCCACAGTATATATACTTATTTAAAAAACAAATTAAAAGGTTTGAATTATCTCCCCTATTCATGCTTATGCCTCTAGAAAATTTACATGTATAAGTAGTTTTTTTTATGACCACTGAAATTCTCAAGTTATCTAATCGGTCAAAACATGTCTCAATTTCAATTAGTTCATCTTTTTCATAAAAAAAGAAACTAAACTTGCTTTTACTTATGTAAGAATAAAAAAAAATGACTAAGCAGTCAAGGGCACAACCATGACAACCCTATAAAAATATTACAGAATATATCGGACAGTTTTTATATGGTCAAAATGTACATTGTACAACCATGACAACCTTATAGAAATATTACAGAATATATCGGAGAGTTTTTATATGGTCAAAATGTACATTGTACAACCATGACAACCTTATAGAAATATTACAGAATATATCGGACAGTTTTTGTATGGTCAAAATGTACATTGTACATGTACTTGTTATGATATCTGCTAGGTTTTTGTCAACATAGGATAACAGATGTATGTTATAACTTATACCTTCAAAGTATCCTCTTTAATAATGTTCTGAAATGTTGGAGGATCAATTAACAAAATAATACAAGTTCGGTATTACCAGTGAATTGCAATGAGTAATTTCACTAAAAATAACGACAACACAACTCAGTGTTGTGGAAGTACACCACTAATTCATGGCCCCATTGCTTTCTGTGTTAAATTCCTCAATTTCAAGCAGACACAGCTCTTTTATCATGTTTATCTTTAAAAGTTCAAATTAAGTGGCATTCATTGCAGGTCAAAGCAACACCTTATGGTGTATTGTACTGAAAAAATCAACATACCTTTAATGGCATATAACATTATAAGAGAGAACTGGTTCCCGGAACTTTGGATGTACCAAAACAGGTACTTCAGATCTGACAATAAGCAAAATGTATAGTACCCTCCTTTTTAAATTTCATGCAATTTTTTATTATTCAAAATTATCAGTCAAAAAGTATTCTACAATGATCACCAGTCGTTCAGCTTTCATTTGATACCAAAATTACTAAAATATTCTACATATTTTGAAAGTTACACCCATGCGTAGGAACTATTTTGTATTAAATATGTACTACTTTCTGGTAGGTGTTACACCTTATTACAGATATTTTTTTAGATGTAATAATCACTGTACATTATTTCATTATGTGACTAAGCATCATTTCAAAAGCTTCCTCAGAAATTTAAAAGTTTTTGCTAAAAAAAGTTTTGACTAAAATACATTCGTTAGTATCCAAGCATTTGTATAGTAAGATTACTATACAAATCCTTGTCAATATCCAAGGAATTTTGCCAGTCCCTATCTTCTCAATAATTTTTATATCTTAAAACATATCAATGAAAAATCACTAAATTTCAGTATTTAAACTTCTTAAACATGTAAAACTTGTTTTAGAAACAACCAGACTAGCATGTGATATTGAAACATGGAGATTTTAATGGTGTGCACACACTGAAACAACAACAGTGATTTTCCTACCCTTTTTCAAATGGGGTCTGGGCCCTAGGCAATTGGGAAAAATGTGTTGTATAACGTATGAATTGGGAAGAAATAAATCATTGTGTTCAACATATTTTAATGATGTTATTCATTATTTTAAAATTCCATGTTCTTATTTGAACATATATATCAACCAGTTTGTTTTACAAGATTGCTAATTCATGAAATAAGAAATTGAAAATTTGACAGAAATAAGTAATTTTTCAGAGACAAATTATTAGAAAAATAACTGAATATTTTTACTTGCGTCCTTTTTTGCTATATATATATATATATATATATGATATGTGTTATTATAGTTTAACTTAACTCAATAAAGAAAGAGTAGACATGGTAGGTAACTCATGATTTTTTCCTGTAATCATGGTAATAGTAACAGTCAGAATTTTTCTGTTGTTACTCTACCACCTCTAAAGGGGTAATACCAGCACTGTTATTCACCTATTAGTTTTTGTTAAATTTGTACAATTGATATGGATCCATTTAAATCTATAAATTGTCGTTTATGAAAAAAATTTAAAACATGTAAAAAATGCCTCAAAAAAAATTCAAGTATGGTACTAAAAATTATTTTGCAGCATAAAAAAGCAACTTTTTCAAGGGTGTTTTTTAAATTTTTTAGTTGTTTATCTTATGTCATCAAAGCAATTAGACACCTAAGGCTAAAGTCTGAAACATCAAGATGTATAAAGCTAAATTTTGCATGTATAATTTGGTAAACCTTGAGCTTGTTGAGCATGTTGAGGGTAAGAGTGCACTGTAACTGCTCACAACTAATTGTTTTTCTGAAAATTTGACTTTGAAGTACCCTACAAAATATCAGTTGGAAGAGTTTTAAAGCCTGGTAGGACCTGCACAGTTTTACCTGTACTCCATGTTGTTAACAAAGCCTTTTTTGCCACTTTGTTATGATAAACCTTATCTTAAAAAGAACACAAATATAGATACTTGTTCAAAAGAATTCATGCTATATTAAAAAATATTCCAGTTTCCACCCCTTGGGATTTTGGACATATGTGAAGCTGTGTGTCAGACCTCTACCTTTAATAATGCATAAGCATGATGAGAGGTATCAACTCTGAACAACTAACTCAAAACTTATGCATGTTATGTGTGGACTCCCCTTTGTACATTAGTCTCTTGTAGTCTTGATCAAAGTTGATCAAAACTGATCTGATCCACAGAGGCTTATACAGACAGGTCCTCATCTTAAACATAAAGAATTTCTCCTTGCATACATGTAATACAAAATGTTAACCCTCAAATCTCTTCTGTCTTCATTTTGTTAAATGAACGGAGTTTAACAGACAGACAAAATAAGCACCATAAAGGATTGCATCCTATATGATTAACTCAAAGAACAGCTGGTATTTTCACAGGTATTAAAATTGTAAAATGAAAGGTGATGTGGGTCTCAATGGGGTCTAAGCGTGACCCGGGATTGCCGATTTTTTTGTAAGCGTGACACGTGAAAGTCAATTATTGTGCTATGAAAACGGGAAATGAAGTCTAGCGGGACACGGGAAATTACAATAAAAATGAGAATTGCTTACGTACATTGTGTAAGCGGGATAAGGGAATCTGACAAAACAGTAAGCGGGATCCAGGATCAGAACCCCCCAATGAGACCCCCACTGATGTTTGCAGGTATTTTCATAAAGATACAGGGTAGGTATATTCATAAAAATATGGGGCAGGTATATTCATGATAATACGAGGCAGGTATATACATAATGATACAGGGCAGGTATATTCATAAAGATACAGAGCAGGTATATTCATAAAGATATGGAGCAGGTATATATATATTCATAAAGATATGGGGCAGGTATATTCATATAGATACAGGGCAGGTATATTCATAGATATACCAAGCAGATATATGCATAAAGGGTACGGAGGTAAGTAGTAATACACCTAAAGTAAAATTAATAAGGACTTATAATTTGTTTTATTTCCACCTATAAATTTGACAAATGTCTCAAGTGACATGTCTGATATTGTCAGACGAACAGGGGTTTTATCTGATTATTCTACAGTTTCAAAACTAAACATTGTGAGTCATCATTAGTTTATCAACTGACATACAAGGAAAATATTGAGATTTGTCGTCAGCTACGTTTCATTTCTGCAAATTTCAGGATCAAATCCAAAGTCTCGCCTCCTCTCGTGAGACAATCATTTTCCGGTACGTGTCCGAAGTTTACTATCACGACAGTACTTCCGGCAAAAGATTTTCCAGTCCATTTTTCCACTGACACAAAGTATGGATAAATTTGCTCACTCGCCTAAAAACTACAATAGTCATGCATTCCCACATAAGCAGTCTTCCGTAAATATACTGTCTGAAAAAGAATGTACCCCGTTTGATCAGACGTACGGGTGCCATATTTGGAGCACGATCTTCCTACCCTTCCGAAGCACCGGAGATCATGTATCCATAGTCGAAATGTTTATGACTCTAAACACCCTACACAACACTCGCCCTAATCCTAAAACCTATTTCTTACCATAACCATAAATAAACCTTAAAACCTAACCGCATGGCGTATCCATAATTCGACATAAAAGAACCGAATCCGGGTCCGTTCGCCTAAAAACACATTCGCTCACATTCACGTTCGCCCCCTTTCATGTTCGCCCTCTTTCATGTTCGCACCCTAGATGTTTGCACCCCAGGTCTGTTCGCACCCTTTTTACATTGTTTTATTGGTTTTGTGTTATATTATTTCTCAATCGTTTTTTGGTTAGGGTATTGCTACATGTATAAATGTTTTTTTTGTTCATTGTTTCAAAATGAAGTACTTTCTAAAAACTATTTTTGTGTTGAATAATTTTTTAATCATGTTTTGGTTAGTGTATTGCTATCAATTTTTTTTTTTCATTGTTTCAAAATAAAGTGACTTTCTAAAAAGGTTTTTTGTGTTGATTATTTTTTTAATGTTAAGATACTAAACAGCTATTAAAACTCAACAACAATAACATTTTGAATCTTCATTGTTTTTACTTTTACCAAGCTAAACACATGCTAACTACATGCAGAATTTACGTCAAAGCTAGTTAAAACAACAACAGTCAGGGGACTTACTTAAATGAGTGATTTTCTAAATCACTGATTCAAGTAACATTATGTCCATAAAGGTTGGAAGTAAGGGTTGTCTTTCTTTAATAATCACGTATTTAAGTAGTACAAATTAATCACTAGACTAAGTGATTTAATTTTATTGTAGCTTTAAATATAGAATACTAATGATCCAGGCACTAATTATGTTATTAAAATTATCAGAACCAACATCTGTGTTGATAGGATGACCGGGTCATGTCAGGTGATGACCTTGTACTAAATCTAGGATAATGACATAAAAATCACTTGTTTAAGTATCATACCTCAATTTCCTTCCAAAAAATCACTTCTTTAAGTATCATTATTTTAATAACCCCCACTAATTTCAACACCCCCGAACAGTGAAATTTTTATCGCGAACAGTAGAATTTTATTACATAATCTATAAGATGAAACATTGAATTTTACAGGAAAATTACTCCCACTGCAGGGAAAAATCTGTTAAGAAAGTATCAGTTCATTATGTAAAGCCATTTTTATAGCATTTTTTCAACTAAAATATAATTTGCAGCTAAACGATTGCACCAAAGGCATAAACCTTGCTGCTTAAAAGAAGCAAAAAGTTCATTTTTTTCAATTTTACTAATGAAAAGATATTATCTAAACCTATGTGTTTAAAATTTTGGTAAAACTACAAAATCACAATTTGTGACAAAACTTTGAATTTGCTACTTAAATAAGTGATTTAAAAATCACTTATTTCAATAAGTCCCCTGACTGAACAATCACGATTTTCAAACACATAACAATAACACCAAGTTTAGCTGTGTAAACAACATATTAACAGTAATCATACATAATTAACATGTAATAATCATCAAATCAATTTAAAACAATATTTCATTTAAAAATTCCCAAATATTTATTTATGTAAATAAAAATATTTTGATATAAACATCTGAAAAGCATCTAATAATTCATCAGGTTTTTGAATAAAGAGAGGTGCGAACGGACCCAGGGGGCGAATGTGTGGGGTACGAACGTGTAGGGTGCGAAAATGTATTATGCTCGAACAGACCCGATACCAAAAGAACCCTACCCCTAAAGTAAAAGAAGGCCCTTAAAGGCTATTTTATTATTTTTCCTGGGTACAATACCTCACTACATACATCCAAATATATATGACGTCTTGATTTTTTTGCTGTGACGCCTTCCTACCATGTCATAGCGTCTAAGCCAAATGCCCATTTTTTTCCAGCTAGACTTTGATAGAGAATTTGGTCTCAACTTTGAAAACTAATTTTCCATGATATCTTCACTGACTACTAGAAATGGTTGCAAATATACAAATTCTTACCTTTTGTGTGCATGTTGGTGCAATATCAACAAAGAAATATCCAAAGGTAATGATAATATAAGTTACAATTCCATGACCTACGTCTTTGTTAGAATGATTTCCCAAGATCCTTTACTTTTTGAGAGTATAGAATAAATTTTCATACCAAACTCTGTGAAAGTTGACTGACCCAAATTTCCGGAATGGTTGATTAATATTATCATTATTATAAGGAAATTTGGGTCCGTCAGATTTTACAGTTTGGTGTGAAAATTCAATTTAAGGTGGTATGGGAGTATAAATTTTAATTAAAAATGAAAGGATTTGTTCATACTTTGCTTTTAAAGTAGTACATATCATTTGCATATTGTGATATGCTCAAAAATATAATAAGAATGATGGGTCACCAAGTTTTTTCTCAAGCTACAGGTTATGAAAAAAATGACAAATTCTGTATGGGTTATACAGGAAAAAATATCATAATGTGAATAAAAGCTAAACCAAATCATAGAAATGAAATATAAAATACTAGAAGATAGCTTTTAAAAAAATGCATTCAGAATATCAAAAGAAAAGATAGGGTCACCGTATGTTTTTTCCCTGCTAACATTGGCTAAAACATAAAATAGCAAAGTTCCATGTAGATTCCTTTATAAAATATACTATTTCAGAGTTACCTCCCCTTAATACCCCAATTTAAAAACATTGAAAATCAAGCAAAAATAAACTTTGTTTGTAAAAATATTAGTAATAATAAGTTAAAATCTTATAAATTTGTTCATTTAACATGCTTAAATGAAAATTCACATTAGTCATTGTTAGTTAATTGCATTCCTCATTGTTCCTCATCAAATTTTGCTGACTTGATTGAAATTCTGGACCTATTGTGCTCTGCTATTTTACAATCCAAGATGGCGTAAGACACCCATACTTCCTTAATCTCTCGTTTAGGTTGAGTTTGCATATACAGTTATGAATTGGCTCCTGTAATAAATAATCTCAAGATAGGTTGACAGTTTCATATTCATACATGTTTAATAAACAAAGACAATGAACACCATGAACATAGACATTACAGTATCTCCTCAATATGAAATTTTGAACCTGAAATTTTTCCAAACCTAAAATAAGGAGGTGTAGTATGAATCCCTGTCTGATTGCCAATGAGACAACTATCCACCAGCATGATTAGAGACCAAATGAAGTAGATGTTAAGAACTGTAGGTCGTTGAACAGTCGCCAACAATAAGCAAAAACCCATACTGCATAGCAGGCTTTAAAAAGCCTTGACATAACAAAATGTAAAACAAATCAAATGAGAAAAACTACATCCTGATTTATGTACAGAACAACGAACAAATATAAATATGATATGTGGTAACAAATGACAACCACTGACATGACTGAATTACAGGCTTCTGACATGGGACAGGCACATGCAGAATGTTCATTTTTAAATCTCACATTTGGACAAGGTTTTCTTTTTGCAATCAATTTACCTAGAATGAAAAAAACTAACATGACCCAATAAAATTATTGTTTTGTGGAACAATCTTATTCTGTTAAGATTATCCATGCATTGGAAGTTCTAGGCATTACTGATCACTTGAAATCAGAAATTAAACTGTGATCTTATTAAAAAAAAAAGCTATCTTCAATTAAGCAAGTTCATGATATCACACTATTTTGTAGTTATAGATTATTGTTTCTAATTATTTTTTAGAATGGATGGAAATGAGAATCATTTAATAGTTAATACCACTGGAAACAGATCAGATATTATGTACAGTATTAATGGTGAAGATATCAATTCTACAACAGAAAATCTAAATTCTGGTAAACATGGTAAATAGTATGTTGTGTGTTGTTGGAAAAGGAAAAAGTTAAATGATTTAAATGTATACTCATCCTTGATACCAGGATTAAAATTTTGTATGCCAGAGTCAGACACACGTTTCGTCTACAAAAGACTCATCAGTGACACTCAAATCAAAAAAGTTAAAAATTTTAATACCAAACAAAGCCTCTAAAATGACAACATTCTTTTATATTATTACTGTACATGTCAAGGGTCTAACTTAAATAAGTTACTAGAGAAAAATAACATACATGTGTTATTATGGATGCTTTCATGAGTTGTCTTCTCTTTATTCCTGAAATGTTCTTAATCTATAGTAACATATGTTTGTTATTTGTTCAAACAAATCTTTAATATTTTACTTTTTATTGGGAACCAGTGAATTCTTGGAACTTTGCAGAAAGTTAACACATAGACTGGATAACTCATTTTCCAATTAAATTAAATCATTTTTGATCAACCATGGTAAATCAATTAGACAAGGCTTTTATGATTAACTTTAGCTGTAATAACAAGGCTTAGTTTTTACAGGCATATAATTTAGAATGGGACACTTGGGAATTACAGCTTGTGCAGAGTTCTAGATAAGTGGTGGTCCTAGGGATTTGACCACCACATTTTTGGGAAGGACCAACACAATTTTGGTAATTTGCAATAGAAATGATAGTGAGGACTTGCATATTTTCTTCAAGGACCACCAGGCAAAAAAAGATTTCGAGAACTCTGCTTGTGCAGTACCTCATTTTATGCTCTGATCATTATTTATTACAATAAATTAAAATGCATTGTGATTAAGCATGATAGATGTCTGAGCAAAGGCTTTGAAGTGGTCCATGACTGAATTAAAGTACCATGCCTTATTTTGAGCCTGGATTTTTATACCCCTGCTTTAAAAAAGTGGTGGTATACTGTTTTACCTCTGTCTGTCCTTCCGTCCATCCGTCAGTCCATCCATCAGTCCATCCGTCAGTCCGTCTGTCCCATGAATATTTTCGTCGCATTTTTCTCAGGAACTACTTGACAAGGATTTCTGAAATTTGGTTTCAGGGTTTATATAAGTAAGTTACACCGTGTGATGCGTTTTCAGATACATCACTCAACAACTTCCTATTTACCAAACACTTGTATTATTTTACACATGATAGCCAAGTTGAAAATTTTCGTCATATTTTTCTCAGGAACTACTTGACAAGGATTTCTGAAATTTGGTTTCAAGATTTATATAAGTAAGTTACACTGTGTGATGCGTTTTCAGATTCATCACTCAACAACTTCCTGTTTACTGAACACTTGTATTATTTTACACATGATAGCCAAGTTGAAAATTTTCGTCACATTTTTCTCAGGAACTACTTGACAAGGATTTCTGAAAATTGGTTTCAGGGTTTATATAAGTCAGCTATACCGTGTGATGCGTTTTCAGATTCATCACTCAACAACTTCCTGTTTACTGAAATATTTCAGCGGGGGTATCATTAGTGAGCAGTAGGTCACAGTTTTACTTGTTAGTATTGGTATTGTCATCTGATAAAGTCATGCTGATAATAAGGTGCACAGTTTTCTCTGCTTTCAAAATCCTTCTTTTTGAACCCGTCATGGTTCTCTTACTACAACAAAATGTCTTGTTGCATGTCGATGAGAGCGGATGTGAAATTTTTGCATAGAGAATCCTTCAACATCTTTGAAATTGCTTTGTCAAATCGCATTCATGGATAAATTTCTTTTAACCTTACATCGTATATGTTATGTTTTGGATTACATGCTTTGGCACTCATACCACATCTTCTTATATCTATTTACTGCAGGGTTTGTTGCTCGTGCTGTGTAGATGCAGTAGAATGTGTCCCTGTGCTTGTGGTGTATGCCCTTATATTTTTTAATTATGGGTTGTTTGCCTGTGAGAGAGCTTTCACATGTTTATATCTTTGTTTTTAATTGTCAATTATATATTATGGTGTTTGGATGTATGAATACTCATCCACGCCTGCTATTTTTATTATTGCCCCCTGCTATGGTTTTACTAAGATTTCTTACAATCTCTGTTTTTGCCCTGTGTTTGTTATATGTCAGTATTGTAATACTTAAGTCTTTACGTCGGGCCTTTTATAACAGTTTTTGTAAGATTTCTTTTACTGCTTTGCCTTTTATTTCCTATTCCGTAATTGTGATCCTTATTCATTGTTACAACCTCCGGTCTTTTTTATTTTTCCTATACCCCTATTTTATTATGATTTTACGCAATGGAAAGAAAATTATTAACAACACAACTTCTAGGATATCCACGTGCTTAAACAAACGTATTCGTAATGCTTCTACAGCCAGATTGTTTTAACAAAAATGCACGTGGATATCCACAAATTTTCCCGTGCAATGCCAAAAAGTGACTAACCTGTTTTAGATTAACTTCACAAAATACTGTACGGTCAACAGTGAACGGGAGAGCTTTTTCGCTCTCCTTTTCCTGTGACATTACCTGAAAAACTCAAAACCTTATATATGTGGTAACTTGAACCCAACCTAAGTGTGGTATTCAATATGTGGGACAGACGGGACGAGCGTATTACAAAAGAAATCAAGAACACCTTTACCGCTTTCGTAGACCTAAAAAATTCAAAAGTTTGATATATCAACATTTAGATAAGCATAATCACAATCTAAAATTTATTAAATTCCAACCACTTGAAACCGTTCAGAAACAACCAGGAGAATCACACTAGCAATTTGAAAAATCACGTGAAGTTCGCGAATTATTTTGGATAAAAAGACTTCAAACAGCTTATCCTCTCGGTCTTAATGACAAAATATTAGGACAGGGGAACATAACTAAAACTTCAATTGATGTCATTAATATTGTCGATAAACGACTTAGAAATAAAAGGTCTCATGGCAAACGCAAAAACCGTAATCAACGTATTAAACATCGTATAAATTATACACTTGCTGATCTGTTATCTATAATAAAAAATAATGGCAGACATCAAGTATTATGCAAACTGGGTCAGATACCAATAAGTAAATTATATGCTATTTTTCTGGAGTGTGATACAATTTCTTTTTTTAGGCCAATGTATGAATACACCCGTATTATTACAGCCTTTTGTCATCATAGGCTATTTCCTAGTATCGATAAACCTGAAAATCATAAACGGCATTTTCTTAAATTAAAATATATAAATAGAGGTATTGATTTTATTAACTTATCTAGTATATTCAATGACTCTACCATCCAAAGCCAAATACCTCCATATTTTGATAATATAGAACCACCTATTATTTCGTATTCTTATAAAAAACCCAGCAGAAGTTTGATTTTTAATTATACGTCAGTTACATCAGACGTCAATATAGAAAATAATGATCCTTCCACTTGAGATTGTGAAACATCTAGTTTTAGATATGTTCCCTATGGTCATGTCCTTACAGGAGACCTCAACATCGTCGAAGACCGTGAGGTCATAACTTTTCTTAAGAAAGGACTGAAATATCGTCCTCCATCTAAAATAGATTGGAAACAGTGTCGTCAGATCATTAAAGACGCTCTGTCTGTCTACTGTAAAAATTGGTGTAAACGTGAAAAATCTGATAAAAAATCTCTAGACAGTTATTTGAATAAAATTATGAATACTGTTAATATTCGTATATCTCATTTTGAAAACAATTCTGAAATTAGTAATAGGGTCCATGATATTCCCATTTCCAGAATAAAAAAAAAACTCCAAGTACTTGCAAAGCGGTTTGTGTTCGTACCGGCAGACAAAGCAGCAAATAATGTAGTGGTGATGTGATGCATATACTACACGGAAGTTCTCCAAAACGAAATTACAAATTCATCTACATTCAGGTCCGTACGCTCCACAGAGAGTCAAATTGTAAACAAGCATATCACTGCCACTACCCAGCTTGAGGCCTCTTCCGAACATTTGAAAGTCCCTACTATGTACTGGTTACCTAAATTGCACAAAAAACCATTTAAATTCCGTTTCATCTCCGCATCTAGTAAGTGTTCTACTACTAATCTATCAGTCCTTCTAACTACCTCCCTTACTACTATCAAAGAACTTGTTATTAACTTTTGTAATAAAGGTTATGAAAATAATGGTATTAATTATTTTTGGAGTGTTAAAAATTCTTTGGAGGTTTTAGATAAAATACATGCTTTTGATGGTCCTTTTAATTCTGTTGACAGTTATGATTTTTCTACTCTCTATACTACACTTCCACACAATCTTATCAAGAAAAAGTTTTCATATTTAATTAAATGGTCTTTTGAAAAATCTCATTACAAATTTATTTGCTGTAACTCGTTTAAAGCCTTTTTCTGTAACGAAAAAGGAAAGTATGCTAGATACACTTACTGGAAATGTGAAGATATGATTGAAGCTTTAAATTTTCTCCTGGACAACATATATGTACGTTTCGGCGATAGAATGTATCGACAGGTAGTAGGTATTCCTATGGGCACTAACTGCGCCCCTTTAATAGCAGATTTATTCCTGTATTGCTATGAATCTCAGTTTATGACCAAACTCAGTAAAGACACGTCATTGTTACATTTGGTTGATACATTCAACAATACCTTCTGTTATCTAGATGATATTTTTTCGTTAAATAATCCAGAGTTCTCTAAATATACTACCGAAATTTACCCAATAGAACTTACTTTAACTAAATCTAACATAAACAGCAGTAGTTGTCCTTTTCTGGATTTGGACATTTCAATCTCTAAAGGAAAACTCCATATGAAAATTTACGACAAAAGAGACGATTTTTCATTCCCTATTGTTAATTTTCCTTTTTTAGACGGTGATGTTCCTTTGGCTCCATCATACGGTGTATATATATCCCAACTCATTCGTTATGCCCGTGTGTGTAGTGATGTCATAGATTTTAACGAACGTAATCAATGCATCACTGGTAAATTATTAAATCAAGGATTTCGTTACCATAAATTACGTAAAACTTTTGCTAAGTTCTTTCATAGATACAAAGATTTGATTAGTAAATTTGGCTGTACTTGTAGAAAACTGATTAAAAACGGTATTTCACATCCTAAATTTTACGGTAATATTGTACTTAAAGCGCGGAAATCACTATGTGATCCGTGTAAACTCATCGAACCTTTAAACAGGCTTATTAGTAAAGGTTATCTTACCAATGTTGTAATTAGATCTTTGAATATAGTTTACATTGGCACTAATATCGAATTTGTCATCAGCAAATTAAAACATAACTAAATTTGTATTTTTTCAAGTGGGATGTATAAAGACACACCCACGTTCGTTTAGATCTATAAAGAGGTTAAACTCCTAACTATCCTACTGTCTGTCTATACATTTATTTTTGGCATTGCACTAGTCATGTCTTCTTTGACTGTCCATGACGTTAAAATACTAAATCCCTGGAATGTGTTTTAGTTGATTTTAGTCTCTGATGCATGATTTTTTATTATTAATTGTTTTGGCTTTTAACTAGCTGTCAGTAACTGCGAGTACTCTCAAATCGTACTTTCTTGTTTATTTGACCTGTTGATACTAATTGTATTGCTTTTTTGTTATTTAATGTTATTCAGGGTTATATCTGGTCTATATACCAGCTTTGATAAGTGTTTGGTATAACTATAAATTTTCACTTCTTACTATGAACATCAAAATTATTTATTTTGTAATAATATTTCCTTTCTCTATTGGTACTGTACAGGTATACCTAACAACAAAATTATTTTCATTTACCTGTGTTTAAAGTTATTGCAAATGGATGGTATTTTTGTTCGAGCATATTGTTTTTCTTTAATTGATTAACATTTCTTACCGATATAACATGTTACTTTTATTATTCTTCCCTTAGTTTATTTATTTTGTATTTACATTGTGTCATAGGTCAAATTTATTTGTTCAGTGTATGTTCAATGGTGTTAATATGTCCTTTGATTGAGTTCAGCTATTTCAGTTGATATTTTATAGTGTGTCTTTCTATGTTGTGATGTTACACTATTGTTTCAGAAAAAGGGTGAAGGTTTGGTACCATAAAAACGTTTAAACCCGCTGCATTTGTTTGCACCTGTCCTAAGTCAGGAATCTGATGTTCAGTAGTTGTCGTTTGTTGATGTGGTTCATAAGTGTTTCTCGTTTCTCGTTTTTTATATAGATTAGACCGTTGGTTTTCCCGTTTGAATGGTTTTACACTAGTAATTTTTTGGGGCCCTTTATAGCTTACTGTTCGGTGTGAGCCAAGGCTCCGTGTTGAAGACCGTACTGTGACCTATAATGGTTTACTTTTATAAATTTTGACTTGGATGGAGAGTTGTCTCATTGGGACTCATACCACATCTTCTTATATCTATTTTGTTGAGGAAAGTTTCTGCAGATATTTTCAGGTTTGTTTGAGACACATGCTCATGGGTTCAGTAGTTAGTACAAATGTAGTTTCAATGTGGGAATCTATCAGACCAATCTATTTGATGTCTGAGGGTTTTAGCTGGTCCCCTTATGGATCCATAGTTTCTTTCCGAGATCCTTTTTATTAGGATTTTCTGTTTTTCTCTACCAGGAAAACAGCTGGGCATCTAATGGTATCGGTTTGGAATCCAAGTATGTCCTGTCCGGTTTCCTGTTCGTTGCCATGTTGTGACCTTATCCCTTATTTTGTATATAATTGTTTTTATATTTTGCATTATTCATATTTTGAGGATGAGCAAATCAGGTGAATGTGTTTGTATGTTTTATTTTAAGGTGAACTTTCTGGTAGTAAGACCCGTCACAGCCAGGCTGGGAAACTGGTAAGGCAAATGCTCACATTAAATCTTTACCGAAACAGTGTGTCAAATGCCCTCCTTTACACCATAACCCATGGTGGTGCTCTTAATAAAAGAAGACACATAACATACATATAACCAGAAATTATTGGTATCGGTATCACATTTGACCCGGAACTTATTAATTATTGGTAAGGTATCAATTATGTGGAAAACAAAAGGTCCCGGAATGGTGTAATTTTTACTCAACACCATTGTCCTATATTAGTTATATTTAAAGTTAAATTCTTTGATTTGTCATTTTATCGTCATGCCGGCTAACAAATTGGACCTTGTTATTATAGTAGTATAGATTTGTCTGTAATATTTAAGCAATCAATCTAGTTGCCTTCCTTGCTGATCAAAAGGAAGTTTTACTCTGGACTTTTTTTTAACTTTAATATTTAATTTTCATAAATTATCTAGACAAGTTATAAACAATGATAAAACAATGTCATCATATGCAATTCTAGATCATTTGGTTGGTTGTTTTCTTTGGAATATATACATGTACCTGTATTTACAAAACCTAACAAATACAGCAGATCTGCAAAGTATTCAGTCTATACACTCATACATCATGTTATAATCTAAATAAAGCCAATGAAGAAAGGCATTACTCATGTGGTTTTGTGTTGAACAGTATATCTTAAACTTTATCATAGTCAACTAAAAATTTTACTGCTTAAGTCATTTTTGCAACCTCTCATATAATCTATTATTATTATATTAAAATATTAGAGTTTTGTGCTGAAAAAAATTAAGATTGGGGTTGGATTCAACAACAACAACAATACTTTATTTTAAGAGGGTTAAACAGTTACTTATATAACTAATCTTCCTTGGGGCCCTTATCATAGAAAAGCATAAACAAAAAATGGTCGAAAAAGCACAATGCAAACAGTGACAGACATGACATACATTAGTATACAAGTCAAGTAAAATTATCAATGTTCAATACAACTGAATAAATTGATAAGAAAAAATAATTGATATTTTACATTTTTTCAATTGGTTGATTTCATTAAATTATCTGTTAATTTTAACATTTGTAATATTTCGTAACGATATTGGTAAATTGTTCCACAAGGACGATCTAGAATGCGTAAAAGATTTCTTGAACAATTTGAATTTTGGTATTTCTCATTCCAATGAGAGTAATACAATTCCAAGGGTGGAGGAACACCACCCATAAAAAGCCTGTGGTGTCAAATCCCTATGGCTGAATAAATAATTTTTAGCTCACATTTACAGTTTTGGCAACAACCAAGAATGCATAAAAACATTTGCCATGATTTGGTAAATGTGACATTGACAATAACTCAAATTATTCACTCTCTCTCCTTGTCCTGATTTTCTCCAAGCAGAATATAACGACTGAATTATTTGGGTTAGCTTGACAATAATTTATTTGATCAAAACTGATGTCTGTTTCTTTTTTGTAGGAATAGGTCAGCGAGGAAATGTAACTTTATTTTCTGGAGAACCACAGCATAATGCTATACCTGATATAAGTTTAAATTCATGTGGATCACAGTCAGACATTTCCATTATGTCTGATGTAGATCTTAATTGTTTGCCTGAAGGTGCTGTTGTCATAGCAACAATGGATGGAGAAATTGAACAACAGGCTATCACTTTGCCTACAGGAAACTCAAAAGATGGCAATGAAAATACTGTTGCCATGGCAATAACAGACAATAACCTAAAACATAAGGTTGCAGACATTGATGTGGGTACACAAGTCATTTCAGTTCCTATAGATATGTTGCAAAATATGGATGGCAATGATGGACAGGTTATTACCATACCAACAGAATATACAACTTTAACAGAAGGTGAACATCAACAGGTCATCACTGTGCCAACAGATTATGCAACTATGAATGATAATGACTCTGGACATTTTGTCACTGTATCATCTGAATATGCAGTTACAAATGAAGATGGCCTTGGACAGGTCATCACCATACCAACAGATTCAGTTAGTGCAGTTGACCTTGAAAAAATCATATCTATGCAAAGTGAAGGATCAGTAATGGAATCTCAGCCCCAAATTATTTATGTTTTGTCAAAAACTGAATCAGAAATGTAAGTTTGTTTCTTAAATGTATATTTGGTAATTTTGGAGTGAAATATGTATATATATGTGTGTGTGTTTTATTTGAAAGTTAGGAAATAGTAAACATATTTAGTTGATTATAGTTACATAAAGAGATTCAATTAGAAATCACTCTTGCTGCTTATCAGTCAAAGGTCTAACTTAAACAAGTTATTACAGAAAATAACAGGCATACTGTTATTGTGGGAATTCTGACAGAGTTATCTCCTCTTGTCATGAATTGTGTTGAAATAACTGATGTCCATTATTGTTCAATCTAATTAAAATAGATATTTTCAATCAAGCAAGTCCAGGGCATCTCACTATAGATGTCATTAATTTAAACAACAAAATAAACAGCGGTAAATTAAAAAGTATCTGACCCGTATCACCCGACTAAAATGTCTGTGATAACCGAAAGGCGTTATTACAGACATTGTTTCTTTGTGCATTAACGGAGATGTTATTTTAATACTATTATGACAGTAGGAGACAACTCTGTCAGAATTCCCTCAATAATAGTATGCCTGTTATTTTCTGTAATTACTTGTTTAAGTTAAACCCTTGACTGCTAATTATTAAAAATGAATAACTTCTTTGGATTATTCACTCTTGCAATTTTCTATTTAAGTTTTCTTAAAATTTTCAAAGTTATTTCACATTAAGGAATGTGCCTCCATCATTCATAGCTCTGATTCCTTGTCTGTGGTTTGGCTTCACTTTTGTTCCACTTTAGTTTTATCAGTTCTCATTTCTATACAGAATAATTATATACAGTGTTGCTGTTTAAATTTCAACCTTAGTATTATATATATATATGTGTTATCAAAATTGCACACAGACAAAACACATCTTTGTGTCATCAATTTATTATTTCCATTAGTTGAATATTAAAAGGTACAGACGAAAATTAACAGAAAACTTCATTTTCAAAAAAGTACTTTACCTTATAATATCAGTATTACAGATAACTAAAACACTACATCATGTACATGTGCATGTTAAATAGTTCTAATATTAAGTGAAGAAAACTACTCTCAGAAGGAAATTCAAAGAGTCTGTCAACTGGAATTGTGGATTCATTTACTTTCGTGAGTTGAGGAAACCAAATATTGTCGTCAATATTTAGTTTCATGGTTTTGCCAATGTCTACATTATTGAAATTATTCTGCTGAGAAAGACTTGATTTTGTTTAATTGTTAAATAATCAATGTAATCAATATGTAATCACTTGTATGAAATTGAACTTAATTGTACTGCTCAAATTATTGGGTGGCATAATTGACAATAAAAAACTTTGTATTGTATTGTATTGTACATACATACAAGACTATAGAAAAGTTGTAATTTGTTGAACATTTAATTTTGTAGTTCCCCTGTACTATGTGTACCCATGAAAATTGGTATCCAATGAATAATAATGAATTCACAGTACATTAAAATTGTTTGCTGGACTAATTTTATAATTTACATTTCAGCGATGACGAAGGTAACAACACTTCCTTTGTTGCAGTAGTGCCAGAATCAACAGAAGATGCTGTGACCATTGCATCCAATCAAATTGAAGATGAACGTTTAGCATATGTTGCATTGACACCAGACTCTACCCAGAATGCCCTGCCCATTTCCTTTCAGGAGGAAGATTGTACTTTATCCTTGAAAGAGCTCTCAGCCAGAGAGAGAAGCAGATTGATAAAAAGGGCACAGAGACAGAATACAGTTTTCAGGTACAGGTAACATAAATGATATATTTGAATATATAGAATAACCATATATTGTCTTGAATATAAATGTTATTTGTACAAGGCTTAGAAACAGGTAGAAAGCAGGGCTGTGCTGAGCCTTTCTATCCTGTTTTGAGCTGAGTACCGGTACAAATAAAATTTATATTTCGAGAAAATTTATGGTTATACTTTATATACTGCAACTCCTATAACTGTTCCAAATGAAATATTTAGGGTAAAAACCATCATTTTTATACGACCGCAAAAAATCGTATATTGGTATGATGTTGGCATCGTCATCGTCGTCTGAAGACACATTGGTTTTCGCACAATAACTTTAGTTTAAGTGAATGGATCTCTATGAAATTTTACCACAAGGTTCAATACCACAAAAGGAAGGTTGGGATTGATTTTTGGGGTTATGGTACCAACAGTTAAGGAATTAGGGGCCAAAAATAAGCAATTTTGTAACTTCCAGACAATAACTTGTGTGTTAGTGTATGGGTCTCTCTGACATTGTACCACAAGGTTCCATATCACAAAGGGAGTGCTGAGATTGATTTTGGGGGTAATTGCCTCAAAATTTTAGGAATAAGGGGCCAAAAAAGGGGCAAAAAACAAGCATTTTTCTAGTTTCAGGACAATAACTTGTATGTAAGTGTATGGATCTTTCTAAAATTGCACTACAAGGTTCCATATCACAAAGGGAAAGCTGGAATTGAGTTTGGGGGTAATTGCCTAAAACATTTAGGAATAAGGGGCCAAAAAGGGGCTAAATTTAAGCATTCCTGTTTGAATGGTTTTACACTAGTAATTTTTGGGGCCCTTTATAGCTTACTGTTCGGTGTGAGCCAAGGCTCTGTTTTGAAGACCGTACTGTGACCTATAATGGTTTACTTTTATAAATTTTGACTTGGATGGAGAGTTGTCTCATTGGCACTCATACCTCATCTTCTTATATCTATTTTTCTAGTTTCCAGACGATAACTTGTGTTCAAGTGTATGGATCTCTCTGAAATTGTACTGCAAGGTACCATACCACAAAGGGAAGGCTGGGATTGATTTTGGGGGTAATTGCCTCAAAATATTAGGAATAAGGGGCAAAAAAGGGGCAAAAAACAAGCATTTTTCTAGTTTCAGGACAATAACTTGTATGTAAGTGTATGGATCTTTCTAAAATTGTACTACAAGGTTCCATATCACAAAGGGAATGCTTGAATTGAGTTTGGGGGTAATTGCCTAAAACATTTAGGAATAAGGGGCCAAAAAGGGGCTAAATTTAAGCATTCCTGTTTGAATGGTTTTACACTAGTAATTTTTGGGGCCCTTTATAGCTTACTGTTCGGTGTGAGCCAAGGCTCTGTTTTGAAGACCGTACTGTGACCTATAATGGTTTACTTTTATAAATTTTGACTTGGATGGAGAGTTGTCTCATTGGCACTCATACCTCATCTTCTTATATCTATTTTTCTAGTTTCCAGACAATAACTTGTGTTCAAGTGTATGGATCTCTCTGAAATTGTACTGCAAGGTACCATACCACAAAGGGAAGGCTGGGATTGAGTTTGGGGTGATGAATTATAAGGGGGTTCAAAAAATTGGGGGGGGGGGGATTTTTTTTCCTTAAAATTTTCCATAAGTTGGTTATTTCTTATTTATATATAAAAGCAAATAATAATGATATGGTTTGATTTCATCAAAAATTGAAATATTGGGGTTCTTTGATATGCTGAATTTAACCGTGTATTTAGATTCTTAATTTTTTGTCCCGTTTTCAAATTGGTCTACATTAAGGTCCAAAGGGTCCAAAATTAAACTTAGATTGATTTTAACAAAAATTGAATTCTTGGGGTTCTTTGATATGCTGAATCTAACCGTGTATGTATTTAGATTTTGGATATTGGACCATAATAGGTAAATTAAAATTTTTTAAGTTCTTAGACCACATTCATTTTGTGTCAGAAACCTATGCTGTGTCAAATATTTAATCACAATCCAAATTCAGAGCTGTATCAAGCTTGAATGTTGTGTCCATACTTGCCCCAACTGTTCAGGGTTTGACCTCTGCGTCCAGCGGAGCATTTTATTAGTTTGGAGTGGACGACGTGATACATCTGTGAACCTGTATTATTTATTGACGTCATAAATAAAACTCTACGGAAACGCATTGTCAACGTCATAAACAAGGTGACATAGGGTCAGTGACTGTATATCACAAATGAATTTACAGTCAATGCAATTTGACTGCGCAAATTGCACAGCTGTAGTATATAATGTTTTAAATTCAATACTCAAAAAAGAGTAAGATTTTATGCCCTACCTAGGATATTAGTGGGCTATAGGTGTTTTCCAATCTGTGCATTTGTTCTTCCATCCGTCCTTCTGTCCCATATCAGGTTATTGATTTGGTTTAAGATAGTTTGTGATCACAGCAGCTTACTATTCATTATAAAATGAAGGAGATGTGGTATGATTGCCAATGAGACACCTATCCACCAAGACCAGAGTTCAAATGACATGAATATATGCAATTATATATATAGTACTATAAGCACATGTTCATTGTGAAGTGATCTGTTTAATATATATTTCAAATCAGGGTTTATACCAAGATTTCGTGATTCACTTTGATCTGTTTATCACCAATTTCTGTTTTCTGATTCTTTGAATTACAAGTGGGAGTATGGTTAGCGCCATAACGCCTGCATTCTTGTTTCAGATCTTTAATATTCTCTTGGTGAATTATATATTTCATAGGTAATAGGGAAACATTCAAAATTAAAACATTTAGTACAAAAATACAATGTCTAAATATAGATGTATGAAATCAGGAGACGTCATAAGGAATAGAGCAATGAAATTCAGAAATATATTGCATGCATTTGTTAATATGATTTCTGAACAAGGGACAGATAAAAAAACAATTTCTAAAATTGGCAATTAGAAATACAGTGCTCCCTCACTATATTGCGTATCATTAACATGGTTAAAACACCCAACATGTACATGTATATCAATATTCCTCAGTCTCATTTTCTGTACATTATCATTCACCCATTCAGTCTGGTACAGATGAGGATTAAACCTGTGCATATAAAAGTGTCATTGGTAGACATTCTTCATAAAAAGTCATCTACTTGACATTTTACTCTTTCAATGTTTTGATTGTAAAAAAGTAATTGTAAATAAAATCATATATATGTACAGGTAGAACATGTACCATGATTCCTTGCAGTTTTGTAGTATTTGTTTAATTTATTCAACCAGTAACATGATTAAGGTGACAGTAATTTATGCATGTTCAAATCTTGTACTAAGATTAAGAAGACACAAATCAAGGTAACAAACAAAAACTGACAACAAATGATCAGTCATTTACGTTTACATCTTCCTTGTCATATCTGTCTTCCCTCAATATATGGTCACTCTTGTATATTGACAAAAACTACCTGGTCCAAAAGGTTGAGATTAAATGAGGAAGAACTGTAGTGCTATAAGAACATGAAGAATATAAAATGTGAGTTCTAATTATTAAGAGGCTGATCTTATTACCTTCTTTGCAATTTTTACAAATAATTTATTCTTTACAGAGAGAAAGAAAGAGGAAAAGTAAGAAAAAGTATGCAAGATAAAAGAAAAGATCCTGCTTACAGAGAATTGGAAAGAAAAAAGGACAGAGAAAGAAGACGTTTGTCGAGACTTACAAATGCCTCTTTACGGGAAAAAGAAAGATTAAGGGACAGAGAATATAAAAGAAGACAAAAAATCGATGATATAAAAATTAAAAATAAAGACGATGACCTTCAATGTGATTCTTTAGTTAGATACATGAATGATATGGATGAAAAATGTCAACTAACTATCAGCTGTAAGCTTGATGATAGCTTAGAAGATAATATGTATAGCTTTAACGACAAGAGTTCTTTTGATGAAGATCTGCAGACTTCTAGTTTAAGTGTTAATGGTGATAGAACAGATCTGATTGACCAATATGGAGATAGTGTTCTCCAATCAGATATCTTGTCTGATAAAGACTCAGATTCAAGACATTTTATTCCATTTATAACTTAACATAAGTGCTTTTTATGTTGATATGTAGACTTCTAGTTTAAGTGTTAATGGTGATATATTAGATCTGATTGGACAATATGGAAATGGTGTTCTCCAATCAGATATCTTGTCTGATAAATACTCAGATTCAAGATATTATATACTGTTTATAACTTACGGTATAAACATAAGTGCTTTTGATGCTGATATGCAGACTTCTAGTTTAAGTGTAAATGGTGATAGAACAGATCTGATTGGACAATTTGGAGATAGTGTTCTCCAATCAGATATCTTGTCTGATATCCGATAAAGACTCAGATACTAGACATTATATACTATTTATAACTAAAAAAAAAGCAGTAAAAATTTCATATTACAATTATTTATATGAATTAAATGATAAATTGCACAAAATGTATATGATTTTGCCAAAAAATCAATTAATAAATATCAATGTGGATTTAATATCATATGATTTCTTAGCATGCTTAGTGGAGCTTCATGTGCATATTTTAACTTGAATTGATTCATTTGTGGATCTTGTACTTTTGTCAACCACCAAACTGTTAATTGTAAGTTGAGGAGAAAGTTCAAGGTCATAACTCATTATTCAAAAGAATAGATCCATAGAACAAAAATATATGTTGCCTTCAGTGTATTTCAGTTCACTCAATGATTGTTATTAAATGTGTTGTGTTTGTCCCCCTTTCATCAGAATGTGATCTGATCAATAAAAGTTTTGTTACTTTATTATTTTTTTGTAGACCATGTGTTGATATAGATGATGCTGTCTCTAGCATACAATATAAAAATATGAAGATGTGATATGATTGCCAATGAGACAATTATCCACCAGAGTCATAATTATGTGCATGTAAGCAACTATGTCACCCTACAGCCTTTAACAATGAGCAAAACTCTTACCTTATATTCTGCTTTAAAAGGCCCCAACATGACAAAATGTGAAACAATTCAAATAAGACAACCAAGGTACGACTTATGCTAAACACAATAAACGAAAAACATATGTTGACCACTAGATATTGTTTGTATCGTCTGCAATGAAATTCGCAGAATGTGAGACAAAGATGAGTATCCTGCGGTGACGGCTTGAACTATTTGTATATGCTTTATTTTTCAAAAGGTAGACAACCTGGATTCTTCATACCTAGTAGGCAGATGCCTTATGTTACGAAGTTTACGTTTGTCACATGTCAATTGTCCATGACCTCAATTTCATGGTTCAGCTTCTGCTTGAAAAAAAATCAGTTTGTTATGCCCCACCTAGAATAGTAGTAGGGGCATTATGTTTTCTGGTCTGAGCGTCTGTTCATTTGTTAGTTCGTTCATCCATACGTTCGTCCGTCTGTCTGTCCTGCTTCAGGTTAAAGCTTTTGGTCAAGGTAGTTTTTGATGAAGATGAAGTCCTATCAACTTGAAACTTAGTACACATGTTCCTTATGATATGATCTTTCTACTTTTAAAGCCAAATTAGAGTTTTTACCCCAATTTCACGGTCCACTGAACATAGAAAATGATAGTGCGAGTGGGGCATCTGTGTACTATGGACACATTCTTGTTATTTGTAAAATGAAATACCGTACTTTCTTATTATGAGTAATAGGATAACTAAATTTTGTATATAAGTACCTTGCAAGGCCTTCATGTCAGTCAAATAGGATTCACCTGACCTCTACCTCATTTCATGGATCACTGTTCATGGTTAAGTTTTCTTTAGTTGTCCGTATCTCAGATACTGTAAGCAATACGTCCACTATATTTGGAGTATGGAATGTATCCAACTGGCAGGTTTCATCTGACCTTGACCTCTTTTTCTTGGTTCATTCGTCTGCGGTATTTTTTTCTGATTTGGTCTCCATTTGTCAGATACTGTGGATTCATTTATTTTCGTGGGTATCAATTTTCGTGGATTGAGGAAAACTTACACTTTCGTGGATATTTAATTTCGTGGTTTTGCTCAATTCTGCATACAAGCATATGGAAAATTTGTAATTCGTTGAACATTTAAATTCGTGGTTCCCCTGTTCCCACGAGATCCACGAAAAATTGGTATCCAACGAAAAAAAATGAATCCACAGTAGTTAAGCAATAGGTCAACTATATTTTGTGTAACAAATGATTGTAAGGTGTACACGTTATTGTTGGATCCCGAAGGACTTAAATACTATGTGCCCACTTGATAGTGTTAACAGTGGCATGTACTACCGTATCAGACTAGCCTTTGGCTGTGTTCACTTTGAGATAAACCCGAGTGTAAGAGTACTCTAGTATAAGCAATAGGTCAACTATATTTTGTGTAAGGTGTACACATTTGTCTATCTGGTAGGGTTCATCTGACCATAGATATAGAAATGCATCTGTCTGTTGAAAAAAAATCATCCAAATATGATTAAAAAATAAAATGCTCCGCTGGGGTGCAGCTTGATACGACTGCAGAGGTCTAACCCTGAACAGTTGGGGAAAGTATGGACACAACATTCAAGCTTGATACAGCACTGAATTTTTAAAGAAAAAAAAGGAAAACAAAATCCCCCCAAATTTTTTGAACCCCCTTATGATTCATCACTCCCAAACTCAATCCCAGCCTACCCTTTGTGGTATGGTACTTTGCAGTACAATTTCAGAGAGATCCATACACTTGAACACAAGTTATTGTCTGGAAACTAGAAAAATGCTTGTTTTTTGGCCCCTTTTTAATTTACCTATTATGGTCTAATATCCAAAATCTAAATACATACACGGTTAGATTCAGCATATCAAAGAACCCCAAGAATTCCATTTTTGTTAAAATCAATCTAAGTTAATTTTGCACCCTTTGGACCTTAATGTAGACCAATTTGAAAACGGGACCAAAAATTAAGAATCTAAATACACGGTTAAATTCAGCATATCAAAGAACCCAAAATTTCAATTTTTGATGAAATTAAACCATATCATTATTATTTGCTTTTATATATAAATAAAAAATAACCAACTTATGGAAAATTTTAAGGAAAAAAAAAGGAAAAAAGGGAAAAAAAATTCCCCCCCCCCCCCCAATTTTTTGAACCCCCTTATAATTCATCACCCCAAACTCAATCCCAGCCTTCCCTTTGTGGTATGGTACCTTGCAGTACAATTTCAGAGAGATCCATACACTTGAACACAAGTTATTGTCTGAAACTGTAAAAATGCTTGTTTTTTGGCCCCTTTTTGGCCCCAATTTCCTAACCATTTGGGGCAATTACCCCCAAACTCAAACCCAGCTTTCCCTTTGTGAAATGGAACCTTGTAGTACAATTTCATAAAGTTCCCACACTTACACACTAGTTATTGTCCTGAAACTAGAAAAATGCTTGTTTTTTTGCCCTTTTAAGGCCCCTAATTCCTAAAAGTTTGAGGGAATTACCCCCAAAATCAATCCCAGCCTTCCCTTTGTGGTATGGTACCTTGCAGTACAATTTCAGAGAGATCCATACACTAGAACACAAGTTATTGTCTGGAAACTAGAAAAATGCTTATTTTTGGCCCCTTTTTGGCCCCTTATTCCTAAATTTTTTGGGCAATTACCCCCAAACTCAATTCCAGCTTTCCCTTTGTGATATGGAACCTTGTAGTACAATTTCATAAAGATCAATACACTTGCACACAAGTTATTGTCATGAAACTAGAAAAATGCTTGTTTTTTGCCCCTAATTCTTAAAATTTGGAGGCAATTACCCCCAAAATCAATCCAAGCATTCCCTTTGTGATATGGAACCTTGTGATACAATGTCAGAGAGATCCATACACTTACACACAAGTTATTGTCATGAAACTAGAAAAATGCTTGTTTTTTTCCCCTTTTTGGCCCCTAATTCCTAAAATTTGGAGGCAATTACCCCCAAAATCAATCCCAGCATTCCCTTTGTGATATGGAACCTTGTGGTACAATGTCAGAGAGATCCATACACTTACACACAAGTTATGTCTGGAAGTTACAAAAATGCTTATTTTTGGCCCCTTTTTGGCCCCTTATTCCTTAACTGTTGGTACCATAACCCCAAAATCAATCCCCACCTTCCTTTTGTGGTATTGAACCTTATGGTAAAATTTCATAGAGATCCATTCAATTAAACTAAAGTTAGAGTGCGAAAACTAATGTGTCTTCGGACGAAGACGCCAATGTCATACCAATATACGACCACAAAAATCTTTTTGCGGTCGTATAAAAATGAGCCTCATGTGATGTCAATTTCAGAGAACATTTTGTTTGAACCAGTGTTTTTTTATGCCACCATAATCACCGAAATTGGCTTACAGCAGATTCCATTGAGTGTGTAGCCAAAGGTAATATCTTTGGTTAGCTTGCTTGTTAGCTGAACCGTGAAGTCATTGTTAGGTTAGGTAAACTACCCTACTTTAAGAATAGACTAGTCCAACAGAAAACCAATCGATCTGTCTGTTGGACTATGCTACTTCGAAAGGAGGGTAGTATACCTGACCTTATAATGACTTCACGGTTCAGCTAACAAGCAAGCTAACCAAATATATTACCTTTGGCTACACACTCAATGGAATCTGCTGTAAGTTTGCTTCAACCAAATGTTATGAAACTTATACACAATGCATATTACCGCAAAGCACAGATAAAGTTTGAATTTGTGTGGTGTCAATTTTAACATTCTTGAGTTATGTCCCTTTATAATGTTATATGCAAGCGGGGGCATCATTTGTGTCCCATGGACACATTCTCCATTTATTTATTTTTTTTAATAAATTATGATTAACCTCGTCTAAAACAAAACATTTGTATCCAATTTTGTTTATTTTTCATAAAATAAAGTTAGACATCTTCTTTCCATGTGTCTATGTTTAGAATGAGGAATACTTCAATGGAGTCAGTTTTTATACGACCGCAAAAAAATTTTTGTGGTCGTATATTGGTATGACGTTGGCGTCGTCGTCGTCGTCGTCGTCGTCGTCGTCGTCGTCCGGCGTCGTCGTCGTCGTCCGGCGTCGTCGTCGTCGTCCAGCGTCGTCGTCCGAATACGCATTAGTTTTCGCACTCTAACTTTAGTTTAAGTGAATGGATCTCTGTGAAATTTTACCATAAGGTTCAATACCACAAAAGGAAGGTGGGGATTGATTTTGGGGGTTATGGTACCAACAGTTAAGGAATTAGGGGCCAAAAAGGGGCCAAAAATAAGCATTTTCTAGTTTCCAGACAATAACTGTGGAACAGTGTATGGATCTCTCTGAAATTATACTACAAGTTTCCATACCACAAAGGGATGGTTAGGATTTGCTTTGGGGGGGGTTATGGCTCAAACCGTTTAAGAATTAGGGGCAAAAAAGGGGGAAAAACAAGGTTGTCCTGGTTAATGGACAAATATTTTAGTACAAAACATAATTTAAAGCAGTGTAAGGGAGATAAATCAAATACATCATTGAAATTATCTCCCTTACACTGCTTTTAAATTATGTATAAAGTAATGGTTAATGAACAATCAAGATAATTTAAAACAGTGTAAGGGAGGTAATCCAAATACAACGTTTTGGTTACTTCCCTTACACTGCTTTTAAATTATGTTTAAAGAAATGCATATTTATAAAGGAAGACCAGTAAAAATATCTGCAAATGTTGCATCTTTTTTTTTACAAAAAAATCCATACGAAAGATTTGACACTATATTTTAAATTCTATTATAAAATAGATTAAGTTAGCACTATGGTAAATTTAAATGGGTAATTATGGCTGCAAATTCCATTGGAAATTTGAATTGAGATTATGACCATATCTTGAGGGAAAGAATTTTTGGGGGAAAGGGGGGGGGCGGGGGTAAAAAGAAATTGTGGGGGGTCAATTTTTTCTCATTTCAGATTTCAGAAATTAAAAAGAATTATTCTTCAAATATTATTTTTTTTTCAAATTTCAAATATTGAAAAATTTCAAGAAGTAATCTTTAATTGCACAGTATGGCGCATTAGATTTGTAAAATCTTTGACCACATTTATTTATTTGTTATGCCGAATCTAACCGTGTATTTAGATTTGTAATTATGGGTCCAGTTTTCAAATTGGTCTACATTAAGGTCCAAAGGGTCCAAAATTAAACTTTGTTTGATTTTAACAAAAATTGAATTTTTGGGGTTCTTTGATATGCTGAATCTAAACATGTATTTAGATTTTTGATTTTTGGCCCAGTTTTCAAGTTTGTCCAAATTGGGGTCCAAAATTAAAATTTGTTTGATTTCAACAAAAATTGAATATATGAGGTTCTTTGATATGCTGAATCTAACCATGTATTTAGAATTTTTTATTTGTGGGCCCCGCTATCAAATTGGTTCATATTGAGGTCAAAAGGGTCCAAAATTAAACTTTGTTTGATTTCATCAAAAATTGAATTATTGGGGTTCTTTGATATGCCAAATCTAACCGTGTATTTAGATTTTTAATTTTGGGTCTCGTTTTTTAAATTGGTCTACATTAAGGTCCAAAGGGTCCAAAATTAAACTTAGTATGATTTTAACAAAAATTGAATTTTTGGGGTTCTTTGATATGCTGAATCTAAACATGTGTTCAGATTTTTGATTATGGGCTCAGTTTTCAAGTTGGTCCAAGTTGGGGTCCAAAATTAAACTTTGTTTGATTTCAACAAAAATTGAATATATGGGGTTCTTTGATATTCTGAATCTAAACATGTATTTAGATTTTAGATTTTTGGCCCAGTTTTAAAGTTGGTCCAAATTGGGGTCCAAAATTAAACTTTGTTTGATTTCAACAAAAATTGAATATATGGGGTTCTTTGATATGCTGAATCTTACCATGTATTTAGATTTTTTATTTGTGGGCCCGCTATCAAATTGGTTCATATTGAGGTCAAAAGGGTCCAAAATTAAACTTTGTTTGATTTCATCAAAAATTGAATTATTGGGGTTTTTTGATATGCCAAATCTAACTGTGTTTTTAGATTTTTAATTTTGGGTCCCGTTTTTTAAATTGGTCTACATTAAGGTCCAAAGGGTCCAAAATTAAACTTAGTTTGATTTTAACAAAAATTGAATTCTTGGGGTACTTTGATATGCTGAATCTAAACATGTGTTTAAATTTTTGATTATGTTACCAGTTTTCAAGTTTGTCCTAGTTGGGGTCCAAAATTAAACTTTGTTTGATTTCAACAAAAATTGAATATATGGGGTTCTTTGATATGCTGAATCTAACCATGTATTTTGATTTTGGACATTGGACCATTATAGGTAAATTAAAAAAATTGAAGTTCTTAGACCACATTCTTTCTGTGTCAGAAACCTATGCTGTGTCAAATATTTAATCACAATCCAAATTCAGAGCTGTATCAAGCTTGAATGTTGTGTCCATACTTGCCCCAACTGTTCAGGGTTCGATCTCTGCGGTCGTATCAAGCTGCGCCCAGCGAAGCATTTTATTATACTATTAATTAAGTGGAGGGACTTGGGAGTACTCCAGCAGATCTTTGGAATTTATTAGTATCAACACCGCCCTAGATTTAGGTAGTTTGTCATTAACTTTGAAGCCTGGTTTTGGTAAGATATTAGTTTTGAAAGAGGTTTCACAGAGCTTTTGGCAGACCTAGCAATATACTTTTGTTTGTAAGAACAGCTATGTAACATGAGGGTTAAGTGTTTTGAGATTGAAGGATATATGTTGACCCCTTTACATGTCTTTTCTTTATGTTGCTGAGCTGCTTTCTCATCGATGTATACCCAACAACTCCTTTTATTCATATATAAAAATTTTAACAATATCAAATTTGTAAATTTGGGTTTACTTTCAACAAAAGAATTATGGATAATAATTGTTGAAGGCCATATGGTTGCATATAGTTGCTTAAATCCACTTCCCTTGAACGTTGGTAGATAGTTGTCTCATTGGCAATCATATCACATCTTCTTATTTTTATATATAGTATTAAAAAAGAAGCCCACTATAAATACTGAGAAAGGGAAATTACAAACAATGGTAAAATAATTAATAAAGACTTTGTTGTTCAATTTGTGTGTATTGCATTTTATTATCTTGTTCACAAATAAAATGTTTATAACATAATACAATTAATAACAATAACAAGATAAATACATAACAGAAAATTGTCATTCGTAAGAAGGATCACACAAATCTTTAAAATAATCCACTGCACCTCCGAAAATATTTAGCAATCTTTTGAGTAAAAATACCCGTAACTCATTATCATTCAAGTATGATTTGTTAAAAAGATGGGACGATACCTATACAGTTTTGTGAGCCATCCAATTGAAGCAAAAAACAATTTTTTGTTGAAAAGATTGGCAGATGCCTATACAGTTTTTGTTTAGTGAGCCATCCCATTGGTGCAAAGTTTTAATGTTAGAACCAATGGGAGCACAGAACAATTTTTTTGTTGAAAATAATTGGCAGGTACCTTTTTACTTTGTGAGCCATCCCATTGGAGCAAAGTACAATTTAGACATAGATGGTCTTCACTTTGAAGGATAATACATTTCTATTATTATAAATTAAAGGCTAGGAAGAGTCACAAATTTTTCTGGAAAAATTTCATCATAAAACATTGAAAATATAATTGTAGTGATTGTGATAATATTCACTCTGCACCCTCATGTAAAAGAAGTGTGTGTTCCTTCTAATAAATTTACCAATTGTAAAGATTTTCTTTTTCAAAGTCAGGCTCTGATGAAAGGATAGAAGATAGAAGCAAAAATGACATTTCATTAAAGCTTGTGCTACAATAAAAGTTTATACATATATCTAAGACAGTTACTTTTTTTTAATATTTTTTATGGCTTAAATGAAGGAAATTGGGAAATGCTATTAAACATAGAGCATTAATTTTTCAAAATCCCTAACAGTATGAATATTTGAAGCAAATTCAAATGGAAAGTAAAGGTTTAAATTCGGTGTTACATTTGCTGTTTTAATATATATATACTGGTATATAAAAGCAGGGAGCATATGAAACCCAGTACAATACAGCATGCATTTATTGCAAGAGATATATACAGCACTATGAAACAAACAAATCCACCCTCATTCATCAAAATATATAAATACACAACCAAAATATACAAAAAATATGAAAGGTTATAATTATTATGTCTTGTTGGCCAATGTTAAAAGTTTCAAATTTGGGAAACTGTTTATTTTCACACCTAATGAAATGAATTTAAGACTGAAACCATTCTGAAGTAAGATTTGAGTTCCAACTAAATTTATAAAGTCAAACCTTAAAAACAAAGAAAACAAAAATTATAACAGAGGTAACCTTTGAAATGAGGCTCAAAATAGTAGTTTTACTACAATAGTACAAGAGGGTGACCTGACAAGACAGTTTGTGGCTGAAAAGAGGTGACCTTTAGAGCAGGTTTGACTGTACTTTGAAAGAAGTAACCTTTATAGCAGGTTTGACTGTACTTTGAAAGAAGTAACCCTCAGAGCAGGTTTAACTGTACTTTAAAAGAGGTGACCTTTACAGCAGGTTTGACTGTACTTTAAAAGAGGTGACATTTAGAGCAGGTTTAACTGTACTTTAAAGCATTAACTTGGCTTGTTATATACTTATTTCTAAGTTTACATTTTTTTCACTACAAAGAAAACAGCTAACTTAATATTTATAGGAAAAGTATTGGCTATTGTTCATAGTGACAAAAATTATCATATGTATACCAAATAAAAAAAAAATTATGTATATATATTTATACCCAAAACAAGGACTGGAGCCTAAAATAAAAACTAAACCAGACATTACAGACAATGATTTTGCAATTAATTTTATTATATTGCACTACGATTTTGGCTAAAATTGTGTAAATATTTCCTCCATTTTTTCTTGATGAACACATACTTTCATGCTACAAATACACCAAGAATAAGCTTCGTATTATGACAAGCAAGTCAGATTAAGCTTTGAATATCACTATAATTGTGAAATCAGATGTTATTTCTGTATATGTATACAAGTCACTCAAGCACTTACAAAAAGCTTATAATGACAAGACAATCACACTAGATGGTATCAAATCTAACAAATAAATGTACTAATTTAATTAGTGTGCTACTCCATCAATTCAATATTTATATTTTTCTAACATTTAAAGCGGTTTTGTTTGGATAAAATATGCTATTTTCTAAGACAGCATTAAAATAAATTATACTTTGGACTTTAATTTATTGTGTTTCTCAATAGTTTTTTGTTTCTGATGTTCATTTTCATTTACACCGCATTCACTAATGAGACTTTAGTTAAAGATTGGCATTCATTATTTCAAGATTATAATCAGTTGCGGATCTAAGATTTTGAAAAAGGGGGCCCACCAAGGCAACTTTAGGAGGGGGCTTGCAAAAAGTTTATTTGCATCAACCATATATGTAGCTCCATAAGGCCCCACTAATCCTACTGTGATAATCTACTTTCATGGCATTTCTTTTTTTAATTCTTACGCATTATTGTATGGAAAGCGACTCTTAGCACCTGGACAAGAGAGCTACTGAATAAAATATCAATGGCAATTCGTCTTTTCAGCAAATGAACTTTTTGATTTTGTCATCAAGAAAAATCATTTTTACATATAGTTTCATTGAACCATAATAAAATTTAAGTAAAAATGAAATGGATATTAAGTGATACCAATACTGATTCTGAAAACCTAAATTTTTATTCAAGAACTTGCCCAAATTTAACACTATTTCAGAATTTACACTTTTTAAAGATGATGAAACTGGAATGTTTAGGTATATATAAAATTCTGGTACCCTTTCAACTTCAAGTATAAATATAAACCTACCTACAAAACTAGATGTTTTACGTATATTTTTGTTAATTAAATTCACATTAGTAAATGCCCAAACAAAATACTAAAATTATGATCCCAGTTAGAAAAATAACTTTAAAAATATTGACTAGGAAATATGTTATACTAACTTATACAAAATGTCTCACATTTATTTCGAAAATAACAAATTTCCAACCTGTAATTTTATAAAATTTTATTTTCTACCTTTTTTTCTACAGCTGAAATACATTCACAGCATATAGTTGAAACCATAAGGACTTGATTACCAAATGATATCATTGAACAATCGGTTTCCTACTGTGATGTAATAACATAAGCATTGTGACATAGAAAATGTACGGGAAGTTGCATGATATTGAAATTTATCTATATAGTAAACCCTTTTCCTTGTACAAAGTGGGTTTGTTAATTTATTTTCTTAAACTGGGAGTCCACATAATAGTTTCCATATGACTTATAATGAAGGACATAACATATAGCCAAATATACATAATTATTATATTAATAAAAGATAAAATTTACTATATACTAATAATCAATTGACTTTTTCACTTTTACATGATCATATCTCAATCCACATTTGTCATAAATATTATTTTTCACAACTGGTAATAAATTACAATGGAATTTTTTCATCTGGCTTAGATTCTGCAGACTCAGAGTTAGCTCCCTTGGTTTCTTCAATTAATGCATCTTCAAAATTGTTCTCCGATTTGCTACCAGCTACTTTGGCCTGTAAAATAAAATAAATATTTTCTTTTAATCTTAAAATGTTCATGTCAGGGGGACCCTTACTTTTTTTACTCACTCTCCACTAGTACTATGTATGGCTATGAAATTGTGATTAGAATCGATAAAATTCTTTTACAGGTCTTCAGACAAGATAGTCTTATATAGACATGTTTGTCTTCAGATAAAACTGCAGCATATTTTGGATATGAATTAAATGACAAGTATTTTTTAATAAACTTCTTGTAAAGATAAAAGACTACAAGTTCAGAAAATCAAATGATACGAAAAATTTCACAAAATATACATATATGAATAGAAAGAGATGTAGGCTACAGGTCAATTATATATACAATGATAAAAAAAAATATTTAAAAAAAAGGAAAAATCTAACATTCTCGTCAACTACATTAACTCATTACAGAAGAATTTCAATAGATTTACACAAATATATAAATATAAAACAATTTGGTATAAATGTCTATAAATCAAATAAGTGACTACTAATTTAAACTTAATAAAATTACAGACAATATTGATATATTTACATTATGGGTGTACTGAAAAGAAAATATGTAAACTTCTTTTTATCTCAGTCATCCATTGCCAGACAACAACAGTGACAAAAGAGTTTACATTGGAACAAGAATTCTTTTTAGTGTTTATGGACCAAAAAGCCCAATAAAATGTATAAAACTTGCCATACATTTTTTTTAACGCAAAAAGTATCAACTGCTGTATTTATTATTTTTATTCTTTTCTATCCAATGTAAACCCTTGGTTTCCGATCATAGGAGACGCTGTAATCATTAATGAAAATACTTCAGATAAAAATATTTCACTTTTAAAAAAGCTTAGTACTTCAATAAATTTTTTTAAAATCACTTCAAGCCTGAAGTGAAAAAAGCAAAATCTCTGAATAAAAATTGAAAAAGAATAAAATAGCCAAGACAGAAAATTCAAAGTTAGAGGTATAGATTTAAAGGTATAACTTTACCATTTTTTTATCATGAACATGATGAAAAAGCAAATAAATAGATCTAAATACAAAACTTGGCATTACAAATGAACATTAAAGTAGCTCTGCAGTAAATAAACATAAAAGTAGCTCTGAACTAAATGAACATTAATGCAGCCCTGCAGTAAATGTTCATCTTTGCAGTTCTGCAGTAAATGAACATCATTATAGCTCTGCAGTAAATGAACATTAATGCAGCTCTGCAGTAAATGAACATCATTATAGCTCTGCAGTAAATGTCAGAACATTGATGAAGCTTTGCAATCTCCTGTAATCTTAACAATAAAGTGCACACCACTCACCAAACGTCCTCTAAAACTATCTATTGATCGTGATTTCTGAACAAAAATAATTCATCTTTAAAGAGTTTTTTATTGCTTATGCTTGCATGTATAACCTGCTTTGCCATGTATGTGCTGTGCTTAGTTTTATGTGTGCTTTATGAATTTTAAATTTGCTTGCATGATTGTGTTTTTATATGTTTGTAGCTCTAGATTGCTTATAACTATACCAAATTAAAATAAAGGTTACTTCTTGTAAAGTATTACATTGTATTTATATGAGTGCCCGTCTGCCAGATACAGCATTCCTGACCAATCAATACTCCACTGTTTATTGTTTACTATATCAGGTAAGTGTATCAAGTGAAATAAAATTCTGAAATTGTTGCTAAAAAAAGAATGCTTCACTTTAATAGGAACTGGCAAGATCCAAAATTGATGGCGCCTTCCATTTCTATCAGTGCATGGTCCTTATTATATACAAACTTTCAAGAATTTAATATATTTTTACTTAGCAATTTCCAAGTCAGGAAACCTGTAATAAAGTGGTTGTAGTTTGTTGACGATTATCATATGTTTTTCGTCTGTTGTTTTTAACAGTATGTTCTTGTGTTGTGCTGTTGCACTACTGTCTTAGGTTAAGGGGACGGTGGAGCACTTGCTAACATGTTTAACCCAGTCACATTCTGTATGTGCCTGTCCCAAGTCAGGAGCCCTTGATTCAGTAGTTGTCGTTTGTTGTGGTATATCGTATTTGTTGGTTTTTATTCTTCTGTACGTAAATCATGTTGTTCGTTTTCTCATTTGAAATTTTTATACATTTGTCATTTTAAGGCCTTTTATAGCTTGCTATGCTGTATGGGTTTTGCTCTTTGTTAAAGGCTGTGCAGTGACCTATCAATCAGTGCTCTTTGAGTACATGTACAAAATTTGTACTCAAAACACCAAATTCAGTATTTGGATAGGTTGATTTCTGAGTCTTAGTACTCTCAAGACTCAGGAAACACATGCAATTCAAAGTTCAAATTAATATATCTAGTTAAAAGATTTTATTGATTGAAATAAAAAGCGGCCCAGATACTTTTTAAAGGAGTTATCTTCTCATTTTTATGCAAAAGCAACGAAATATTTTTTTTTTTCGATCTCCTGTCTTGTCTGTTGAATTAATTCCCAACTTGTCAAAACTCTGGCGGCTAAGAGCTTTCCACATGGTGGAATTACTTGTCTATCACAGAGACATCTTTTGGAAAACTCGTGTCGTCAGAAGGTTGTCTTGTTTACAATTATCCAATATCTCCTTCAAAGGTGGGTTTACACAGTACGATTTTCCATCCTTTTTCTTATCTATAAATGTTTTGACAAAAATCTCAACGTATGAACACTAAAGTCAGATGTTGTTTAATTGAGTGGAAAATAGTATTCTGAGAACTGAACGTTGTATGATTATGTGGGCTAAATTATCAAATCAGATGGAAAATCGTACTGGTATAAACGCACCTTTAAACACATCTATATGTATATATATCTTACTTTAACATTTGCTACTGCACCTCCTACTTTTTCTTCCATTGACTTAAAAGCTGTGGAATTTCTAAAATTAGAAATATGACAGAATAAGTTTTAAATTTATCTAAATCACCAGCATGTCTTTTTCATATAGATCATGTAGTTCTCTTAATGAAGTGAACTGCTGAAATTCATAATAACATTTTCAGGAATGAAGTTTTTTTTTAATTTCCTAAAAATTTTTGCAAAATAAAAATAGTCCGAGTGCTTTTTTTGAGATACAAGCGTCTGAAAATCTGTTTGGTGGGGAATCCGGTTAAAAACAGTCCTGTCTAATCACCACCTACTAAAGTAATACCTATGTATTTTGATGATGATGATGATGATGATGGATGACTGCTTAACGTCCAGTACCAAATCAATATGCATATTTAGAATGAAAACATGTTATTTTAATGTGAATATTAACCCTGCTTTGTACTAGACCAACACAATGAGCCAGATTTTTAATGTGCTAGTTCACAAGGTAACAGTCCAAAGGTAGACATGTCACCTAACCCAGACACATTATTCTTACTCCAAGCCTACCAGTCTTTGCTCTTACTCCTTAATGCCGCATGCTTAGCGGAGAAGCAGCAAATACTAATTTTAGTCTTTTGTTTAACCTGGCCGGGGTTCAAACCCACGACCTCCCCTACTCGAGGCGAACTTGCTACCACTAGACCACCTAGGAGGCTTATGCATTTTGAAACTCCATTCAAATGTCAACCCTCTTAAAAGGTAACTTTTCTCTTGTCCCAATGGATCTCCTTTATAAACTGTGGAATCATTTATTTTCGTGCGTACCAATTTTTCGTGGATTGAGCAAAAATGGTATTTTTGTTGTTATTTGATTTCGTGGTTTTGCAAACGTTTGTATACAAGCCTATAGACAATTCTTCAGTAAAAAATTAAAATTTGTTGTTTCCCTACTCCCACGAAATCAATGAAAACTGGTACCCCACAAATGATAACGACTCCACAGTACAGGTTTGACTGTATTATCTACACAGATAAGGTTGTACCAAAAGTAGTAACATTTACCTAACATCACTAAGTTTCCTTGATACAGTAGAACCTACAGTTGTGAATGCAGCAGATGTCTTTTCTGATGCTGTTTTAACTGCAGACGATGTCTTTTGGTATCTAAAAAATAAATGATACATTGTAATCTATCATATGCATAGCTTTCCAAATATTCTTATTTATGGGGTATTTTCTCCATGGGAGGTGTTGACCGGACTCTTGACTAAGCCTCCATTATATTTACAAGATACATCGATCAAAACAAGCATTCAAAATTTAAATGACATATAAGCATGTTTACATGAGGGGGATGACGGGAGAGTTCTCGTTTCCCAAATCTAGTTTTTTTGGGAATGTTTTCCCCAACTCCCTCTTTTTTTCCTTCTAATTTCCCAGATCAACTTTTTTTTAACCCCTATATCCCACATGATGATGGGCCACATCCCCAAGTTTTTTACTCCCTATCTCCCATGTCCCCAAGTTTTTTACTCCCTATATCTCATATCCCCAAGTTTTTTACTTCCTATATCCCACATCCCCAAGTTTTTTACTCCCTATATCCCATATCCAAAAAACATGTCATCCCCTCATACATATTCAAAACCATAGCAATATGGCATACTACAATAAAACAAGTGAAATGTATATCAATGCATTAGGTTTAATTATAAGCTTAAACTTTAAATCCCCTATGGAAATTTTGAGAAGTTTGCAGGTATGTATATGTAAGTATAATTTCATTGCTGTATGTAGCACTACTGGTACTTGATACACACTACAGTTTTCCTTCTTCACACTGGAATATTCTATTGGAAATGATACCCTAGGGCAAACAAACTAGGGAATTTTTACACTAGTGTACACTAGAGTACACTGTCAGAAAAGTTCAACTATTACATGTTATGTCGTGTATGATACAAAAGTGCAATGAAATGATACCGATTCACTTCCTAATTCCCCAGTTTCAACTCTTAAGAATTGTGGGTAATTTTATTGTTTGGTACACCAAAATATAAATTAAACATTACATCTTTGGTTGCATTTCCACTTTTGAAATATTACCCAGAATGAATTAAACATAAAAGATTCTTTTAACTATTTCCCCCCCCCCCCCCCCCCAACATTCTTCAAAGGGAGACAATTATTTTCAAACCTTATCTATTTTTAAAGTTTTATAATGATAATGATAAGGAACATCTAAAAATAAAATAAACACAGAAATATGAGGAAATCTGTTTCTAACAAAAGTGCTAGTGTCTGAATCTCAGCTGTTAAAATAACTGAGGCCAGATCAAGCTTCAATAAACAGTCCAGTGAAATTCAACTGCAAAAGCTGGCATGTTTGCAAAAAAAGTGGTTACCACAGAAATATAAGTGAAAGATAAACTGTTATCACAGAGATATGTCTCGCCTTTTTGTAATTTTGATAATGCAAATGTTGAAATTAAAATAGCAATACTTTAACATGTAAGTTATGCAAATATTCAAAATCGACGAACCATGACTGAAGGTACATGGCTAAACAATCTCCATGGAATGAGATGTGCCAATGCTAATACAACTGCATACCAAATACCATAATATTGACTAATTATAAGTCGTTCCCTTTAAACAAACCTAAACACAAACATTAACTTGTAAACTATGTAAAAGTTTCAAAGTCAATGAACCATGATCAGGGGTGGGGCTATATAATCTCCATGGAAACGATACTTGCAAATGCCAATAAATTTGCATACCAAATATCATTGACTTAACATTAGCAGTTCATCTTAAACTGATCTAATCACAAACTAATACATGTAAACTAAGCAAAAGTTTCAAAGTAAATAGACCATGACTGAGGGGGTGATGCCAAATATTCTCCATGGAAATGAGATGTGCTAATGCTTATACAACTGAACACCAATTAACATTGGCATACCACTATTGGTTCCCCTTGAACTGACCTAATCACAAACTAATACATGTTAACTTAGCAAAATTTTCAAAGTCTATAGACCATGACTAAAGGGGCGGAGCCAAATAATCTCCATGGAAATGAGATATGCTAATGCTTATACAACTGCATACCAAGTATCATTGACCTACCACTAGTGGTTCCCCATTAACTAGACCTAATCACAAACTAATACATTGGTGACACTGCCGCCGTCGCCATCACCGCCGCCAACACCAGAAACATCATACCTATGTCTCGCTTTTTGACTCCGTCAAGGCTAGACAAAAATCATTGACTTAACATTAGCAGTTCATCTTAAACTGATCTAATCACAAACTAATACATGTAAACTATGAAAAGTTTCACAGTCAATAGACCTTGACTGAGGGGGCGGGGCCAAATAATCTCCATGGTAATGAGATGTGCCAATGCTAATACAACTGCATACCAAATATCATTGACCTACCATGGCCACTAGTGGTTCCCCATAAATTGACCTAATCACAAACTAATACATGTAAACTATGAAAAGTTTCAAAGTCAATAGACCTTGACTGAGGGGGCGGGGCCAAATAATATCCAAGGAAATGAGATGTGCCAATGCTAATACAACTGCCTACCAAATATCATTGTCCTACCACTAGTGGTTCACCATGAACTAGACCTAATCACAAACTAATACATTGGTGACACTGCCGCCGTCGCCATCGCCGCCGCCAACACCAGAAACATCATACCTATGTCTCGCTTTTTGACTCTGTCAAGGCTAGACAAAAATCAGGGAAAATACACAATACAAATAGAAAATATGAAAACTAAACTTGATTATTTTTAAAAGAACTATCTATGTGTTATGTCCTACTCTCAAATTAGTTCAAAGCATGACCAATATAAAAAAAAAATCAATCCTCACATTGAATTTGAAGGCAGAGATTATTTCTTTCCTGTGAACATTGTAAATTCAGAAACTTTAGCGATGTTTTTATTAAATAAATGTAAAAACAAGAACTTAAGAATCTTGGAAGTAGTTAAAACTCTCATTTCACTATTTAATGTAGCAAATCTTGACATCCAATCTTCACAAAACATTGATTAACTAATCTCAAATTAGTTCTTTGTTCAAAAATAATAATGATAAAAATTAACACAATATTTCTGAATTTACAGTATATTTATAATGTTCTATGAACAACCAATGGATATAACAATAGTTTTTAGAATTACTGAAATACATGTTATACAAATGAATTATAGGAAAAAAAGGAAAGTGTTGGTGCTCAATACTGGTTATATATCATTAAATTATAAACAAACAACATGAACAAAAGTGATTTTTCTTAGGATGATTTTAATGAAAATGATTGAAATTTTAATGCACTAATTTTTAACATTAGTACAAAACTTGCAATTAAAAAACAAAGCAATAAAAATTAAAATTTCGAACGTTGTAAAATAAAAAGATAACATTAAAATCCTCAAGTCCTTTGGGAACATTTCAGCTGCAAAAATCTCAAATAAATAATAAAGCAATAAAAATTCTGATTTCCATAACTGAAAAGAAAATAACCAAAGAAAAATCCTTGTTAAGTTAGTAATAAAGGTTACATGCTATACACACATGCCAACATGTAATACTTACGCTGTGGAATGTGTAATCTTATCATTTATGTCATGAATTTTTTCATTTGTTTTTTGATACCTGAAAGATATAATCAATACTAGAGCCTACTGTGGGGTCATTTATTTTCATGGATTCAGGAAAAAATTGTATTTTTGCGGATATTTATTATAGGTGGTACATAACATTACAGGGAGATAACTCTTTAAAAATCAGCTGAACATTTTAATCATGTTCTATTGTCAAGGAAATATTAAGCTTTCCAATGGTCAAAATTAGTGTTTGTCAAACTGCTATATATCCAATGAAATTTTTCCAACAAAGTGTGGGGTTCAAGTTTTTTGAAATTTTGAAATTTTTGTCAAAGGGTCAAAGCAAATATTTTGTCAAAATTTTATTAAAATTAAACGAGCCAAATTAATTTTAGTCAAGGTGTATGGTACCACCTTAATACTTGGTTTCACAATAGTCTGTTTACCAGAGTACAGAAATTTGTGTTTTGTTGAACTTTTAAATTCGTGGTTTACCTCTACACACAAAATCCATGAAAATTGATATCCAACGAAAATTTTTCTAGCAGTTTTAATTACAGTACAAATAAGGTTGCCTTATGGTACAAACAATATTTAAATTTGTATTTGACTTCTAAAAGACAATATACTGCATAGGAACTACCAATGAGAAATTGATACTATGAAGAATTCACACGAAAAGGCACACAATGCATACAAAGCAGTGTTAAGGGGATAAAAAAACTACAGGAGTCTTATAAATTTTGTTTCTAAATTTCAGTTTTCATTTCAGTAACAGTTGCATAAAAGAGAAACTTTGAAAAAAAATTACTTAAATTAAGGACAGACCTGTCATTTGTCCTAGTTAACTAGCCTAGAATAAAAAAGCTGATCATTCAGGAATTTTAAAGCACTGCCCTCCCATAGCATTGGGGCTTTTGTTGCCTTGATCTGGCAAACAAACTTAATTTGAACATGTTCAATTATGTCCTGAAACATTTTTTGCTAAAATGACAACTATTTGGACAAAGAGGAATTAAATGAATGTACTCTTCTTGGTCATTTTAGGCAAAGGGAATTGAAAAATAACTTAAGAATAATGCAAGATATGTATTAAAATACTGCTTAGGAACAAAACAAAAGAAAAGATTAACCGGAAATTATTTTCTGGATTATTCATTAAAATTTTTTCACAAACTTAATACATTTTTGCCCCAACCCCTGTCATAACCTATCTTTCAGTTTTGTAGCTATTTAATAAAACGTAAGAAAAAACACAGATGTTCAATCAAAAACCATGCCAATAAGAGACAAAGGACACCATGGCTTTCCATGTCCTAATTTCAATTTAAAGAGTTGATGTGCATGCATTTGTATTTTCTTAATGTTGATTTCATGGCAAGTACGCTTTTGTGGAAAAAAAAAAAAAACTAGCGAAAAATAAATCTGATTAGAAACTTAAAGATATTAAACGTAATGCTGAAATTTATATACTTTAAGTGTGATAAGAAATGCATCAAGTCACCTATATGAAAGTCACTACACCACACTGTTAGTATCTACTAAGCAATTTGAACTACCCAGTCTCTTAAAACCAAGATAGAGCACATAAAAGGGAATTCAGTTAAAATCACTCTGTGTATTGATTTTCAGCGAAAAGTGGTGACTGCATAAGCTTCACTCTAAATTATCTCTCTATATATTACTTCAGAAATATGTGAGAGTGTTGTTAATTTACCAGAGTGTTATATATATATATATCATCTGCCATCATTCACCCTGTTTAATGTGTTAACACCACACTAGTAAAAGTGATTTTAACTTTATCCACTTGTAAGTAGTTTATAAAGTGCATTATTCAATATAGAGATATTATGGGCAATCATCATTTAACCTTCATTTTTACGATACAAAGAAAAGAAATTTGAAATTGTGTTTAAATGCTGCATTTAAATATGTATCAATTAAATGCATGATTTTTTGTTTACACGCTATATCTTGTTTTAACAATTAGAAACATAGATATTTTTTGGTTTACCTGTATAAAATTTCATACATGGTTTAAAGAGAAGCTGAGTTGTTAGCATTTCACTGCAAATCAGAGTTCTCCTTTGAATCTTGGTTTCATTAAAATCTGGCTAGACTCATCATTTCAGAACTGGCTAATTCAACAATGCATCCATATTTTATTTCTGGAGCCCAATAATTATCATAATTCAATTAATACAAAAGTTTAAAGTAAAGAAAAAATTGATTTTTTAATCATTTTGTTGTGACATTTGACTTCATTGATGATTTAAAGGATACATAAAATATTTTTTTTCTTTGGACTCACATATAGCCACAAATGATGAGTCCCACTACTACCCAGAAGAGAGTCCTTCATGAAAACCTGCTGATATCTTTGTAACCTGAGACATCACATATTTCACAAAAAAATCTATTTTTAAACTATATCTATTTATTAATCACTATCATGTCTACAATGAAATCATTAAAATTCAAGCATATTCTAAGGTTAAACACTCACAAAAATTATAATAATAGGAGCAAAATAATGATGACATGTTTTCTACGGTTGAAAATTTGTGCGATTATAATTACTGAATGAATAAATTACATGGCCGAAAATTTCATGAAAAATTCAATGTGTCAGACTACAAAGTATGCAAAAACACAAAACAAAGAGACTCACGCTGACGTAGAAGTAATTCTTTCTTTCATGTGAGTTAATCTCTCATTTGTTTTCTGCATCCTAATTACAATATAAAAACAAACATAGCACTGAAGTGCTGTAGGATAGATGGTTTTTTATTACCCAGTACTTGAAAAACACAGCCAAAAGTTTTAAAAACGTAACTTTAATTGAACAATCTAGACCAAAAGGCCTAAAAAACAAATTAAAAATGGCTGCAGTCTGTCTGCACCATTAGCTTCAATGCCCCAGACTAGTAAAACTTTATTCAGACTAGTAAGTATTTGCAAAACTTTGTTTAGACACATAAGAAAATCATCCGAATATTAGTCTTCAGAGTAGTAGTTGCAAAAGATATTTGTACAGACTACTTTGCTTTGAATTTGGTTTTGTCAAATATCTAAAGGGATTTTGTGTCATTAATTAATACACCATATCACTTAATAAACTTTTCCAGTAAATAGAAATATTTTGAAAAGTAAAAGCTGTTTAATACAGCAAATTATTTGTTTATAGAATTTCAACTTTATTAATATATTTCAACATCCGTCATTTTTTGACATGGCTTCTTAACAAATCTGACCAATCAATGACTAGAAAACATGTGACCTCTGACACAACAAATTTCTTTCTTTTAACACTGTTCAACATAAAGAATACATTTCTTTCATACAGAAAGAGTATTTAATATGTGCTGAAAGTTCATATGATAATATGATAATATTTCATCAATAAAATTTTAAAAATAAATAACCCAAGAAAGTTAAAACAATAAAAAAATATGTTGACAAAAATCACAACATCTCTACATTATCATGCACTCAGTTTAAAATTTAACAAAAAAACATAAAACAAGTAATAACAATAAAATAAATTAAATTTTACAAAAATTGTTAAAGCTACTGATTGTAAGCATCAGGACTTTCGGAGAAATTATAAGCAGTAAGCAATTTTGGGGCTTCCCCTCAGGTGGCAAGGTCACATTCAAAAATGCCTCAGGTTACCAGGTGACTTTTTTTAAACAAGTTTTAAGTAAAATCTAAAAAATTGTATAGAATGCAGTTGATTTTAAATGAGACATCAGTTTGTAAGGTAGCCTGCCACCCCACTTATTAATCAAATGCTTTATATTTTTTATCAAGATATTTTTCTGTTGGCTGCCATAAATTCAGACCCAGAACTATCCCAAACTTATTTAAATGTTAAATTCCCAAAGTTTTATAATTTACATGTAGATTTTACACGGGAAGTTAAAATAATCAAGGCAAATAACAACTTCCACAAGGATGTTACAAATGTAACTTCAAAAAAAAAATATAAACATGGTGATAACTTTGCATCTAGCACTAAAAGTGTATCTTGGATAAAATATAAAAGATTTGGATACTAGAAAGAAGAATTTCAGTGTTTTGAAAGAATGCAAAATAAATCTAAATATGCCTGTCTTCACACTTGGCCACAGACCCACTATTCCAGGGTTGTTAAATTTCTTCCTTGCCTGTTTGAATTTCTACTACAGACCAATAGAATCTATACAAAATTTTCCAAAAAATAAGTGTAAGTGGCTGCAAAAGTTTATCATGAAGACAGCATTAGCTACTAATCAATAAAAATTCTTCTTTAAACATAGATGTTTTTTTTACAAAAAGATTGATGCAGAAAATTGAATGTACCCACATAGAATGATTTTATCTATTCAAAGACATGATTGCTGATCTTAGAATTACATTTGTCAATACTACTTACGCATCTGAATCTTGAATAGATTTAAATCCATGTTGGAGATCTTGTTTAAATTCTTGAAATGGCGTTATACCCATTTGTCTTTTAATTTCAGCAGCTCTTCTTACTTTGGCTCCTAAAACTTGTCTTAATGTAACAATTTCTTCTTCGACCTTCAATAAATACATATATTTCTCTCTCTTTCAAATGAATTTTTATAAATATTGTATGTACAAATGAATCTTTTTAAATATCATACTCAGGAACTAAACCACTTGATAAATACCTTGTTTCAATCATAATTAATTTGGTTATTTTTTCTATCATTTAAATTTTAGAAATACTTTTTTAAATATTCAATAATTTCCTTAAAAACAACAATTTATCTAGGATAACAAATGTTTTAAATAAATTCAATAAGAAAATTCATTCAAAAAACAGAATACAACCATATTTCTTACAGTAACCTAAATCATCATTTTTGAAATTATTGAAATTTTAACTTGCAACACTTTTAAAACCCAACATAAAAAAACAAAATTATGTGTCCATAGGACACCTTGCCCTTCTCACACTGACACATTTGCATGTTATAGTGAAATAAAAGAAGAATGTGTCTGAGGACACGATGCCCCCGCTCTAACTTTGAAACAAAAATAGGACGATTGGAAAGAGGGAAAGACGGAAGGGATAACATTTAATGCCCCCGTTGCCTACGGCTGGGGTAAAAAAATTGGGTCAAAATCCTTATCTGGTATATAATTCTAAAAGTTCACATCATAATGAATGTGAATACTAAGTTTTATGTTGATGTGACACAGCTTCATGGTAAACTACCTTATAACCTCAAACTTGAACATGATACTGGACAGATCCACAGACCAGAAAACCTAATGTCCCCTTTTAACACAGGCGGGGCATAAAAAGTAAGATCTTTTTAATTAACAGTAATATGAACATGATGAATGTGTCAGAGAATTTTTCTCCAATTTTCCAATTATAAGCATCCTTTTTTACTTTTTCTAATTCCTCCTGCAAGACTTTCAGTCTCTCTGCCCTTTCTTCTGGAGTTTCTACAATTACTGGTACCGGCTCTGTTCCTGTTTCAACAGTTTCATATGATGGTGAATTCAAACTACTGTCATACAAATGTTCATCTGAAAAGACAACAACAAAGTATAATTTAAATTGAAATGTTTCTCATATACAGATTCTCCTTTTTAAGAAGTGAGAAATACAGTTTCTGTAATTCTTCATGATTTACATTTTCCATAACCAGTTGATATATTTTTTTCTCTAATTCTTCGTCAATTTATCCCTTTCTGCACCCATTGTATAAAAAAAATTTAATCAACGTGTGGTTTGTTTGATCTCAGTTCTTCATTGGTTAAAATCTGTTTATGACGTCGAATTTTTGCTTTTCTCTGTTTTTCCTATTGTGATGGCATGAAAAAAGGCAACCATGCCTGATGACGTCACATAGAAAGAACACATCTTTTTGCAGATCATTCGAAAAGAAGGAATAAATTTGCCTGCGTATTGTTTGAAAATCATTAGGGAAACAGATTCCACCACCAAATCTCGTGTAATACGATATTTATCCACTCTCGACAGTTAAATTTTAAATATTTAAAACGCTCGGCAAGCCTCGCGTTTTAAATTTGAAAATTTAACTGTCTCGAGTGGATAATATCATATCACACTCGATGCAGTGGTAGAATCTATATATATTCAACATGCGATCTTTGATCTCATTTCTTCATATGTCAAAATTTCCTTGATTTCCTCCGGCTCTGAATTTGTTTTTTTAAAAGACGTCACCAAAAAAGGCAACAATACCTGACCATGCTGACCTGTATCAATAATTATTTCTTAAGGATGAATTCTAGTCTCATTTAATTACCACTCCACCTAAGACTACTAGCAGTTACTGACTTTTATTGTTTAGAAACTAAACAAACTGATGAGACACAAGTTTCACAACTAGATTATATTAAACACACTATGAAAATTCTGGAAAGGGAGATAACTCCATTATCTGCAGTGCATCAAAAGGGAAATAGCTCCATAATATGCAGTGCATCAAAAGGGAGATAACTCCATAATCTGCAGTGCAACTTGGATTAATTTCCATTCCAATATCCTTACCTACTTCTGGCAAATCTGAAAATAGAAATTCTCGATCAGATTCTGTTCTTACTATATCTCCAACAATATCGTCCTCATAGTACCCTTCAGAATCGTAATGTCCTTCATCTTCAGAATGGTGACCATCATGGGTCAGTTTCAGAAATTTTAAATAATTTGTAGATTCACTGATTTTTGGTTCGTATTCCAAATCTTCAGGATTTGGATAACTTTCCATAATAATGTTTCACTACTGTCGAAAGATCAGGATTTAATCTATCATGAGTTACAGTTCAATTTGTATATATATATATTTCTTGAATGTATATTAATGTATTTCCAATTATCATCCACTTCATAACACACTTCAACAGTATATTTTCCTTTTTCTTTTCCACCTCTAATAATTTATATTTTTCACATCCTTACAAATGATAAAATCTTATTTATTATTTTCCTTTTCATCTACATCCCAACTTTTTCGTCAAACTTATTTATTGTCAAATATTGTCAAACTGATGTTGACGTGGACTTTCCTAAATAAATCTTCCTAATTAATCAATTCATAAATAGAAAGTAAACACAATGTTATCAACAAAGGATCATACAGTGACAAATCATTATCCCTTATCAGCTAATCAGTGCAATAGATTATATAATATATTTCGTCAACTGTATTTTTCAACCTGGTCAGTAAGATGGAGTTAACATACACTCCCAAATGTTCATTTTCCAACTGTCATATATATCATAAAGTTCAATTAAGTTGTCTTAGAAAAGCTGTCACATGTAGCTGACTGGACATTTATTTGATTTATAGTCTGTCGAAATATTCAGTAGCCAGCATTTATGTTATTTTAACTGAATTGTCTGATAAGAACATGCATTTTTTTTTAATCTGCACTACAAATTATAATTATGACTCCCCAGACTTTATTTATAAATGTTCTATTATGTATAGATGTAGTCAAACGTGTGAACTTGTCACCTTAAGGTCAATCATAACACCTAATGACCAATGCTTTATCTAGTTAAATAATTCTACCTGTAACATGTATGTAAACATAAGTAATATTTCAATCATATAATGATCATGATTGTCACATGAGAGATTAGATTAAATCCAAAAAGTTTGCAAAGTGATACTTCTCATAATAAATGTACGATAGATATAGATCTATCTGTCATCCAAATTTACAATAACTATAATTTTCTATCCTTGTCGTTCATCTCTTCCTTCCTGTTGATTGATTTTCATACAATTTATAGTTATCATAAAAAAAATTGTCACTAAGGAATAAAAAATATTGCAGATTTGTGCCACACTCTTAAAATCCTATCCACTTGAAATCAATATGAATAAATCCAATCAACGGAACAAAAATCACAATTAACACAGTTAATAATTTCAAACTCCTCTGACATGAAAAAAACATTCTACACATATTCTATCTCACAGTTTCCCACATGAATTTCCAATCATAACAATTTCAATAAAATTTCCATATGATGAAAATCTATAAAATCATATCACAGACAGCGACAGGTAGAATTTCATTCATCAACGTGGACTGTCAGACAAAATCAATGACGTCATGAATTTGTCATCTTCCTTAGGATCTTGTTATATCATTACATGTTCTATTCGTCAATCAAATTTACAGGTAAAAGTAGACAAATACGAAATCAAATGCCATATCAATTAATTAAAGGTATGATACAATAATTTCTTTAGTTCTCATTGCAACCCAACTCTGCAGTGACATTTGCATTAAATGTTTTCCCACAAGACCTTTATTTCAATTTTTGCATATTTATTCATGAAACTCTATTTTTATCAATCATATATATGTTTATGTGTTCACTCCAGGTAAGAAATTAAACTTGAAAAGTGAATATACATGATATATTTCCAATCTATTTTTAGAAAATTTAGAAAAATTGTTTCTACAGATTAAATTTAAATGAACAGTTAATAGAAGCCCATTCACCATTTCTATAATTAAAGGTACAGTAATTCTAAATTTATTATTTTTACATAAATGTGTGATACTGTTTAGACATTAACCATTCACTTTTTGTAGGGGGCATGATTTCTTTTTAAACATATTTCAAACATATTGTTGATTCTAAATTTCTTGATTAAAAAAAAACAAAGAGAAGTACAAATAATACTTTGATTCCCACTGAAAACATAAAGAGGGAGCAAAAATGAAGCATTAAAAAATTGTTTTAAAAGAAAAGCTCTTGTTTCTGTATTTTATTGAAAAAAAAAATAGTTTGCTTTTTATTATTAGAGTCCAACCAAGAAAAAAACCTAGATGCCCCCACAATAATGACAATAGATAACAGTGTTTCCAGTAGCACTGGAATTAAGCATGATGACTATAAAACCTGCCGATCTTCATGAGGGTCTGGATGGCGATGTTGCTTCATTTCTATGTTCTTAATTTCTCTAGGTAATTTTTCTCTATACTTTTTATTTTTTCCCATTATTCTCTTAGACTCTATTCTTTATATTTGAGCTCCCTATTATTCTCTATTCTTTATTTTTTTTTCTAGTATGATATATTTTTTGGTCCTTTTTTCAGTAGATTTTGCCCATTATTCTCCATCCTGTAAATCCCATCCAGACCCTCATACATGATATAAAAGCTATTAAACCAGAGCTTACTGCAGGGGCAAAGACTCAAGAAAAGGTTCAAATATTTAAGTCAATATGAAGATCATTAATTTCTGTCACATTGCTTGGCATGCTGGGTTCAGGAAAACTTTTTTTATCATGATATAATACTGTACGATCAGAAATTATTGCTTACATAAATTTATTATTGGGATTTCGACATGACAGACCAAAATGTGAGAATAATTATTGCTATTACAAGAAAAACTGCATACACATATATGTGTCAGATTTCGGAATGTGAGTTCTTATGGTTGTGATACTCACCCAGTCAGATTACATACAGTACGCTATATAATAAAAACCTTGCAATAATTTCTGAATTTACAGTAGATAATATTGCACAACTGTCAGACTAATTGCCAGCATAAAGAATTATCTCCCTTTCATAGAAATCTAAATATCTAATACCGCAGATGTTGGGGTATAACATCAAATGCACAGCAAACAAACAACAAAAGAACCCAAAAGACATCAAGATGTTTATTTCTGTTTCCAAAAACTCTTATAGTAAAATTAAGGTCAGCCATAAAAGCTGCTGACCTGCAGGTTTCTAGGAGGATCTGTAAATTGGTTTCATGATAGTGCATTCCTAAACACAAACACAATAAACACAATGTTTTCCAAAATTTTGTGATTTTGTCAGAACTTACTGATAACTGTCATGACTGTGAAATTCCAGTATAAAATTAGTGGAAACAATATTAAAATGATGATGGTGACAAATAAAATACATGATTTTGGCAGTAAATTAAATATTTGGTCAAATCTTTTGTTTACTGGACACTTAAACCAGGTGAATGACCAATATTTGTCTGATCTACAGTATAAACTTTGGACAAGTCACTATTCTATAAATAACATTCTAATATGAATTGAGATTTACAAAATGATTCATACTGTCATAGTGTGTCTCACAAACTCAAGGCATTCTAAAAAGATCTGTTTAATTACTTTCAGTTTCCTGAATCATTTTGTAAATCTCAATTCATATTAGAATGTTGTTTATAGAATAGTGACTTAAGTTTGTGATTTCCTTATAAAAATAAGGAGATGCAGTATGATTGCCAATGAGACAACTATCCACCAAAGTTCAAATTAAATGAAGTGGATGTACGCAATTATCATAAGCAATTATTGTACATATATTATAACGAACATGTCAAATCTAAAATACAAAATTCCCCCATACTTTTCCAATCCAAAATAAACTTTATAGCTGACTATGCAGTATGGGTTTTACTTATTGTTGAAGGCCGTACGGTGACCTATAGTTGTTAATTTTTATGTCATAAATTTGGTCTCTTGTGGAGATTTGTCTCATTGGCAATCATATCACATCTTCTTATTTTTATATCAAAAGTAATGCAAGTAAGAAAAATCAAGAAATTTTACAACAAATAAAAATGTCATGGTTGGTTGCCATGAAAACTGGTTTAATGTGAAATTATTTTTTATTTTCTTACCACTTTATATTAGTACAGTTTGGACAAATGTAAGAACTTAGAACATGTATGGTAGCTTTTTGAATTGGGCAAAATGAAGGCCTTATTGCCATGATTGCCCTTCTCCTTTGTCATTAATAAAAATAAATTTTCAAGCCAATATTCAATAAACAGCTGCGCCATGAGCGCATGATACACCCGTCGCTTTTTCAAAGAATTAAGTTAAATAACTTCTCAATGTCATATCAGAAATTTAAAAAAAACTAAGGGAGCTTATCTTAATAGATATAAACCAGTCACCAAAGTTTCACGAAAACTGCTCAAAGCACTTTAAAGATATTGTCTGAAAACTGGAAAATCACCCCTTTTTATGAATAAAATCCCATTACTCTGAAAAGTAAAATCTAAAATTTATAAAAATCAAAAGGTAGCCTGTTGTCAATAGATAAAAACAATTCACCAAAGTTTCATGAAAACTGCTGAAAGCATTTTTGAGTTATTGTCTGAAAACTGGAAAATCCCCCTTTTTTAAATGAATAAAACCCCATAACTCGGAAACGTAACATCAAAAATTTATAAAAATCGAAAGGGAGCTCATGTCAATAGATATAAACAATTCATCAAAGTTTATTGCAATTTGGTGAAATTGTTTTTGGGTTATTGTCCGAAAAATGGAAAATCCCCCTTTTTTTAATGAATAAAACCCCATAACTCGGATACGTAAAATCTGAAATTTATAAAAATCGAAAGGAAGCTCATGTCAATAGTTATAAACAATTCATCAAAGTTTCTTGCAAATTGGTGAAAGTGTTTTTGAGTTATTGTCCGAAAACTGGAAAATCCCCCTTTTTTAATCAATAAAACCCCCATACCTTGAAAATGTAAAATCTAAAATTTATAAAAAACGAAAGGGAGCTCACGTCAATAAATACAAACAATTCACCAAAGTTTCATGCAAATTGATTTAAGTGTTTTAGAGTTATTGTCTGACATGTGGACTACGGACGGACGGACAATGGTAAACCATAATTATATGTCCCGTAAGCAGGCGTATAAAAAGATATACTGACATTCATGAACTGAATTGACTGAATGTTGACATTTAAATAAACAATATCTATCTTGATATTACTGTAAGAAATCTATTTCTCAAGATAAGAATATGCAAGATATTCATTATTCATCGCCACTAAATTCTTTTTTGGTGGAAAATTACAAACAACATTAAATTCTATTGACAAATTGAATTTTTCTTCATTGTAAGATATGAGGCGGAATAATAAACCCTCTAATGTAGAGAAGCAAATACTGGGCTACACCTGATCCTTATTCCAATCTGTATCATATTTGTTTACATACTTAATTGAAAGAGAAAGTTTTTTTCTCTATGATTCTATTGGCCTGTAGAAGGTTTCTTTTCCCAATCTTGCATTTCAAGGATATTAATGATGTTCAAATTAGCTATACATGCTTTATGAGCAACTTTGGAAATAAAATCACAAAAATTTGCTGCATAGGCAAGTTTTATTAGTTAAAAACAGGCAAGCATATCTGTTATCGAGCACTGACCAGAAAAAAAAAAAGTATTACAAAAACATCAAACTCCAAGGTAAATTCAAAAAGGGGGAAGTCCATAATAGTGTAGTTTTGTTGCCAGCTTTCCTCCCACGGCCTTAGAGCTTATTGGTAAATTGATTAAATGTGATTCTATAGCTATCTGATACATAACATGCATGTACCTCATAAATTCTCAAAAAAATTTTACAATATGATGGTGGATCTTTTCAGATTTTCATTCCTTTTTTATGTATGTACGTTCAAGACAGTAAACATGATAAATAAGAATGACATTTCCCTTACATTTGTATCTGAGGAGCATATGATTTCAAATAAATTTAAATATTTGATTACCGAAAAGAATTAAGTAAAACACAAATGCACAAATAAACTTTAGGAGCTCATCACCTGCCTCATATAAATTAAGATACATTGTATTGATGACAGCAGAAAAAGGTTCCAATTCAAATCGTTGAGGTGTGCCACCCTTTGCCTGCTCCTTTGATATTTAGAATAGTATTTAATCTACAGCTTTTTTAATTTTCGGTTTTCGTTCGATGTCAGAAATATGAAAATAAACTTTAATGCAAATTTTATGCATTTCATGGGTCTTAATATACATGTAATAGGAATATGTTCTTGCTGATAAATTATCTTAAACCCAAAAATGGCAGTGAAAAATACGGCATGGTATGTTATTATGTAGGGTCTTGTTGAACCTAACAATGTAAATGACACACAGGGTATAAGTGTGGGAGCAGATAAGTACCCCTTGAAAACATTGTGAACCGATGCAAGCAGCGGTTGATTATTGTTTTTTTCTTGGGGTATTACTCTGCCCTTGCACCCTCTTTATTTAATATACAGATGTGTTTTGATTTTAGACAGAATGTGATCTTGAAGAGTGGGTGGTTCTGGTAATATTAAAAGGTTTTGAGAAGAGTGAGAATGTGAAATCTTTGTCTTAATCTACTGCCTACTGGTCTAATTAATTGCAGATATAAACACATTTTTTTTTCTTGTAAAAATTGTTATGGGACGCCTGACATTATATATATATATACAAATATTAAAAAAAATCTTGTCTTGTACCTTAGCAAAGAAGTTGAGGAAAACGCTTCAACTTCATATTTTTTTCGTCAATAGGTCAATCATGATGTTCCTCAAAATGGTTTATCATATCATAATTATCCAGAATTGATGTCATTACATTTTGCATCCATGTGATCACATTTCGCATATTTGACAGCTAATACGCTACACAGGTGCAGAAAAGCCATGCTTGTTTGTAATTTTGGTTCTTGATACGCTTTACTTTAATATGTGTATTGATCTTTATTATCAAACGTTTTGAAGATCAATAGTATTCTAAACAAATCATCGGATATGGCCAGACCGAATAATCCGGATTTTTTTATATTTTTTTTATTTCGTCAATACATCGGAAACGGAGGAAGGGTCCGTAAACCAGAATAAACTGCTTCGCTGAGCGCAGCTAGATACACCCGCAGAGGTCCAACCCTGAACGTTGGGGCAAAAATGGACACAATATTCAATTTCAAGCTTGATTCAGGTCTTACTTTGGATTGTAATTAAATATTTGACATATTATAGGTTTCTGAATAAATGTAGTCAAAGAACTTGTAATTGGTTACATGAATTGAATTTATATCATATTAAAGATTTCTTGCTGTTGTACAATACTTAGTAAATCTGTTGTCAGACTATAAACAAATAAAGTTCAATTAATTCCCAATGTCATATTAGAAATTTATGAAAATAAAAAGGGAGCTTACATCAATAGATATAAACCAAAGTTTCATGAGAATTGGTGACCGCATTTTTGAGTTATTGTCCGAAAACTGGAAAATCACCGCTTTTTTTAATGAATAAAACCCCATAACTCGGAAATGTAAAATCTAAAATTTATAAAAATCGAAAGGGAGCTCATGTCAATAGATATAAACAATTCACCACAATTTCTTGCAAGTTGGTGAAAGCATTCTTGACTTATTGTCCAAAAACTGGAAAATCCCCCTTTTTTTTAATGAATAAAACCCCATAACTCGGAAACGTCAAATCTAAATTTTATAAAAAAACGAAAGGGAGCTCACGTCAATAGATATAAACAATTCACCAAAGTTTTATGCAAATTGGTTTAAGCATTTTTTAATTCATGTCCGACATGTTGATGACAGACAGACAGACGGAAATGGTATACCATAATACGTCCCGTAAACGGACGTATAAAAACACAATTTATCTATTTTGGCCTAGGTGTACAGAATGGTGCTGTAGTTATAAAATGCGCAAGTTCAAGGTGAGTAATTTGGTAAATAATTTAGAGAAGAAACAATATAATAGGGCTTAAATCAGAAAATTGCTTCAGACTCAAAAAAGGTAATCCCTTAATTTTAACTGATTCAAAAAGGCTGATATCATGGATATGTCTTCTATTCAATTCTTACTTGCTTCAGGCATACAGAATGGTGCTGTAGGCGTAAAAGGTGCCAGTTCGAGGTGAGGTAGTTGGCAAAAATTTTCCCCAATAGGCTTAATAGGACTTGATAAGGGATTCTGAGGCGGCCAAATCTGAAAATCGCTCAGGACTCAGAATCCCAAAAGGGATTATCAAAATGGGATTACCTCATATTTATTGTACTCTTTTACATGTTTTGCAAGCCCTTTTCAATGTTGCCCTTCAGTCTATAGTTAGATCCTGAGTGCATCTATGTCAATAATGAGCACGGATATTATATATGCACATTTATATGACTTTTGTACACGTTGAAAGCTTTTTGCGTGTTGTTTATATTTTTGGTAAGACTGGGCAGTTTTTCTTTGTTTTTGGCATGTAGCTCAACATTACGAACATAATTTGGGTATATACTGTTGAAAGACTGTGAATTAAAGCCTACCAGCTGATTTGTCTGGGGTGTCACTGGTTGGAGTTGACATTTTCAGTCAGTTTTTCTTTCCTACACCTGAGTGTGATTCACTGTGTTGCCGGAAGTTGCTAAATTGTCATTACGGGTGACGTCACATCGACGAATACTCTCCTGACTAAAATTTAAAAAGAAAAATCCAAGATAATTGTATATGAATATGATGCATATCATGAATTTTCATCTCGATTTAATTATTATATCTTAAAAGTTAAATTTCAAACTTATCTTTCATTCATGTTCCTAAGCTAGTTCAAAGGCTAATTCATAGCGTTGCTCAAACGTTTTAAATATTCAAATTACATTCGTTACTGAAAGCAATTTTACAACCTTGAACAGCAAAAAATGGCATTAAGCAGAAAAGGGGGAAATGCAAGTTGTTTTAAGCATTATCTTCATGGATTCAAATTCTATACGAAATTAATTAGTATATATTTTTTTTCACTATGATTCAAGATATCTAAAACCCTTAACAAGATCGTTATAAGAGAAAAAACAAAATCTATTTGTAAATATGTCCCCTTGTCGATGCAATTTTAAATAAAATTGTTTACTAAAATTTTTATACTTACATTACATGTTTCTTGGTAAATTTTACTACAGATAAAGCTAAACCATTGCATGAATTATGTTGAGAAATAACCGTGCTTGGGGGAATTGACCTTATTGGGTCAGCTCATTACCGTCTCGTGTTCACCTCAAGTGTTGGGAGGTTGTGGATTCGGACCCAGGCAGGGTCAAACCAAAATTGATATTTGCTGCTTCTTTGCTAGTATGAGGCAGGCGTTACCTGTGAAAGGGGACGAAGTCTGTATGAATTATTTTTTTTTAATTCAAACATATTTTAACTTCAAAATCTGTTCAAAAAAGAAACGGAAATACCCTTACGTTTCCGATTTCGGTTCTGTTGTTCAGAATTTTAGTTGTGACGTTATTTATGTTATGACGTCATATTCAATGTAAACAAAGAAACGCTATCAGGTAACGTTTTTTCATATCAAGCCATTCAAGGAATTATTAAAAATGGAATTGGTATTGCGTTCCTTCCTATATTTTACTAGACTGATAAATATATATTTTACTCAAAGACTCATGCAAACGAGACCTGAAAAAGGAAGTAGATTTCTGCGCAAATGAGGGAAAATAAAAAAGTCTGAAAATAAAAAAATTAACGATTTTGAGTTCATTAGACATGTTAGAAGAATGAAAAATTTGGGAAATTTTCCCCGATTTTTTTTTTTTTTTGATTTTTTTATTGATTTTTCTACCGTAATAGGGGACTTCGTCCCCTTATAAAGGATTAAGAGCAAAGAGTGGTCAGCTCAGAATCAGAATAATGTTTCCGAGTAAGGTGGCATGTCTTCCTGCGGACTGTTACCATGGTTACCTTGTGAATTAGCCATGTTAGCACGTTAAAAATTCGACTCAGCTTGTCAGGTACAAAGCAGGGTTACTATTCATATATATTAACATGTACTCATCCTGAATATGCATATTAATTTGCCGCTGGATGCTAAGCAGCCATCCATCATCATCATCATCATCGTAACTGTTTGGATTATGAGGCTGTTGTCAACAAATTTTAAGACTCTTCGGCATAAGGAGTTTTGGGGACAAATCAACACCTATGAATGTCATTTCCATATTTTTCTTTTAAGAATCTATTAAAAAAATAATCAGGGCTCGACAATAACGCTTGTCCAATTGTCCAGTACCAGAGGAAAAAAAAGGTCAGACAAGTAAAAGCCATATCAAGCTTGTCTGATGGGACAAGTAAAATCATTCTGCGGAAAATAAATTAAATCCAACTATGATGATCAAAGTAATAAACAAAAAACAAGAAAAGAAGATAAAACAAATATTAATTTGACATGTTTACTTGCGATTGATAATTTAAAACTGGTTATAACAGATGAAAGGCATACAATTCTCGGAAACCAGTCTTACCAATCGTCAGCGGTGCCCTTTGTATATAAAAATATAAGGTAACAAGACATTTCCGCACCAGTAGTGTACGGAAACGAATCGGCTCAATTTTTAATAGACAGTTCGGCACTGTTGGAGACATTTCTGGACCAAGACAAACCAGAACCTAATTTCCCTACTTATTCTGTTGCTTTATAATAAATACATGAAATATATGATAAATTTTTTTTTATCAAAAATATTTAAAAAATTTTGTCATATTAACCATAGAATTCAGAAAATCATATTTAATCATATTTAGACAAACAATATTTGATTGTGTTTCAACATGTTCAATAAACATTTAAATATATTAAAAACAAAGCTGATTGAAGTAAAATATATTAAAAACAAAGCTGATTGAAGTAAGGCATTAATCCTAATAATCAATATTTTATCAACATAAACATGATAGAAGACCAGGATACAAACCAGACTGTGCCTGATGTGCAGTCAGATGTCAGTGATGAGACTTTAATTTGGCATTGGTGAAAACTAGAACCTAAGTCCTGTAACTAGACATGACTAGATTCAGTTGTTCTTGACTTGGATATCATGAGATATAAATCAAATTCTGTTCTATTGTTTTAATTCATTTTGTTCATTGAATCAACCTAAAATACAAAAAGAATAATATAAAGGTGTTTTTTGGACCAGCTACAATTCCATTCAGACAAGTAAGTTTTGGTATGTACTTGTCCTATTGTAGAGGCCTGATAATTGTCAAATGCGTTACTGTTCACATTTAATGCATTTATAGTTACAGATCCATTTTTATACGAGGGTTATCATGGTTATGGTTTTAAGTTTTGTCACATCTGTAAAGGACAGAAAATTTACAATATTTTATAAGTGAAAGCCCATGATGCCAATTGCAATTGACTAACAACATGTGTAGTTTACCTAAGGTTCTTGGAATTTTTCATATAAATTTGCCAGTCATGACCGATGAAGATTACAAATGACTTTTGAGAATGAAATTTCAAATTTCATTCAAATTGAATTTAAAAAAAAAGAAAGAAAAGCTGCCAAACATGCCAAAGCGACAATTAAAAATCAGAAGTCCAACATTTGTCCAATAAACATGATAAAAACAGACAACACCATGGCCAAAAAGGCAAACATCAATAACAAAATCTACATATACCAATAATACAATACAATGAAAATGAAAGATTGAGCAACAAGAACACTACTAACAAACAGGGGTGATCTCAAGTGCTTCGGAAAGGTTAGCAGTTCCTGTTCCACTAGTGACACATGCTACACATGTATGTTAATCTTGTTAAATTACGTTGATGAGTCTTTAAGGCAGAAAAGGTCAATGTCAATAAAAGCTTATATATTTATTTATTTATTGATTGTATTTACACATTTCAGGTTCGACTTCCACCAGAGGTCAACAGGATCTTGTATATCAGAAATTTGCCATACAAGATAACAGCTGAAGAAATGTATGATATTTTTGGAAAGTATGGTGCTATACGACAAATTAGAGTGTAAGTAAACAAATTGCATATAATTGACATGATTGAGGCTTAGCTACAAAATATATCCTATCATATCCTGTTCTTACAAAGGAATAATATGATTCAAATTATTTTTCCATCACAGTTTACATGTGTACTTTAGTGTGCTAACAGTCATTGATTAGGCAATATTGGTTTCTTATGTGTTTCTTTAAAAAAAGAAAAACATTACATAAGAATGATGTACATTTTTACTTGATGTAGATGAATATATTAAAAATAAAACATTTTCTCCCAGTTTGTAAAGCTGGTACACTATTTATATTCATATGCAAATTCTATCACAACACACCTTTGTGCATGATATTTATCTACTGATCAAGATACACAAAAAATAATGTAAACTTTAATTTAAATTAAAGGGAAAATTCGCGATTTTTTACTTTTCATCTTATTATGTTCATAATACCATAAAAAACATATTTACCAAGTTTTATCTGGATATGAACACTAATAAAGAAGAAAATTGGGAATTAATAATTTAATTTATTCCAACTTCCTGACTTATGTGACGTAGTTTAAGTCTTTTTGCATGCCGGGAGTGAATAAATCTCGTTGTAAGTCTTGTTCGTTAATCATCTAATAACGCGATTTAAAGCGCATCGACGACTTTTGGCGTAGCTATTAACCAACTAATAATTAAGAAAGTAAAGTGATCCGCCGTGCAACTTTCAAAATTAAAATGTACAATTTATATTTAAAGGATTTCTGATATGATTATAGTAATAAAAGTAAATCATACAATAGAATATATTTTCATGAATTTTTTTTCCGACGGATATTTTGAACAAATATATATAACTGATATTGTTTTACAAATGCATGTTTGTATTCTCACCTGAAGGCTTTTACTTCAGTCGAGTACTGTGTAAATACAATGTGTATTGTACTGTGACACTAAGTGAGAACCTGTTGAATGCGTGGTTAAATTCAAGGTAATTAAAAGATTAGCATTCTGTAATTCTAATCTTTTGATCTTCACTCGGTGAATTTTAGCCAACACGGTTCACCCTTACAGGTGTGAACAACATTTCGTATGAATGATAAAAACATTAATTATTTGGGGAGGAATATGGTGGCAAAATACCTGAATCGCCGTTATATACATGTATATCTTTTATATTTTGCGTAAGCTTAATTTTAAAATAGATAGGTGAGTATTTTGTTGTAACATCGAAATTCTGAATTACTTCCAATTAAATAATTTTACAAATAAAAATAGCCCACGAAAACGAGCGTATAAACCAAACACTGTACTTACTTTTTCAAATTATCATGGGTATTACCGTGAATATTTCAATGTTTAGAGAAAATTATCGCGGTTACATGATTAATATAGCTTGGTCCGTCCACAGCGATCCACATTTACCTAATCGGGAATGCCCTTATTAAAATATTTAAAATCTCACAACGTATACATACTTTAGCTATTTGACCAACGATGTTTAAAAAAAATAACAGAATCAATCTAACGTCAACTTTCCTTTTTTGAATGGAGACAGACCGGAGGAATCAATTTTCAATGTGCTTTATATCTTGTACCTTTGCAAGACTTATCATTCATTCATAAACCCACTTTATACCAGAGACATATATGTCAGTCTTAACTGACAAGAATACACCTAAAGCGGACAAGCAGTATTTTCTTTAAGTTTCTGTGATTTAATACCAAGAAAGAAAAAAATCCCGAAATTAATTTGATACTTTGATACTCAATATTTTTCCTGGAAAATATTCATATCCTCGTTTGGTCTGAAAATAAGATAAGAATTTGGTATACAGAACATGCAGAAGTGTGAATGTCATAAAACCTTGTTATATCAGAAACCATTATAAATGTGAACCTGTATACGTAAGACCTCATGGGACGTCACCTAACCACATACAGGTATTATACAAGTAGCTCTGTTATACCCGGAAATGTCAAGGTAAATCACTACCGATACAGAATGTACCAATGCAAAGAAAATTCTGATGATTGTGAAGCATGACCATTCATGATTTTAGAGGAGTCTTAGGTGGAAATTGCCGGTACGATTTAGATTCTGACTATATTTTTTTCTCTCAATTTAAATCACTGAACTTAAAAAAAAAAAGAAACATACGCCCAAGATCAGAATAATTCTTCATGTAAATTCATAAATACAACGTTCTTATTTTGTAACTTTCGATATACTTCACCCCCAACCACCGCCCCCTCCCAACCTGGGAACAGTATATCTAACATAACACTGTTTGTGTACCTGCCCAAATAAAAAAAAAAAAGATGAAAAAAGAAAGAGATGAACGGTAAGTCACATCAGATTCAAATATTTATATGGTTGATTGTCGTTAACTAGAGATGTAAAGTTACATGTCTCTGCGTTAACTTATAAGAATGACAGGAAAGTATATACTTGAAATAGATTTATGATGATAATATGCAACTGCAGCACCCCTTTTTATCAAAGTGTACATGCATGTATTTTAATGACTGTCCTTTATTTCGATTAAGAATGACAAGTGTACGTGAAATTCTATAGTTGCCAGTGAAACTTTTTTTTTACCAGATATGCGACTTTTCGTATTTATATTTTCTCTTATATTACTCTCATTTAATATTTTATGCATAAGTGCAATATTAGGAATGGTTTATCCCCCATCCCTATTAAGCTAACTAAATAAATTAATCAACCTTCTAGCTGACCAGACGTTAACACATCTACTATCAGTCAATTCGGAGTGAAGTTTCCGTTTATTTCTTCAAATAAGCTTTTTGGGGATCATTAGTGTACGTCCAGTGGCATATATATTACATGCATGTCGGAACAGGAAAATTGACATGAGGTATAATAGAACCATGTTCACATTATTACATTATTATATATAATACACAACCATTGAGATGATGACGACTTTCTTAAACTGTTCAAAATAATCTTATGGAAATAAAAATCTGTGATTTTACTATGTGCATAACTTTGATGAACCAAAGCAAGTTAGATATACATAAATTAAATAAATAAAATAAATAAAATAAATAAAATAAATAAAATAAATAAAATAAATAAAATAAATAAAATAAATAAATAATTATTTTATTATAGTGTCACATATTTGATCAAACAATATATATATACAACAATTCATAATAAAAACAGAGATCAAATATCCAGCCTTAGAATAGACTTATGAGACACTTAGATATCGACCTGTATTTAAATCAGATTGGTTTTGGATGTTTCTTTTCGTATATTCAATATACATGTATATATTCTAAATTGTGACTATCTATAGTTCCGTAACCTTCTATCTAGGCGTATAATCCAATGATCGACAAGTGCGTACATTTTGTTAAACCAATATTTGTACGTTTCAAAATGTCCATAATTATCGACAACGAGTAATTACTTATATTTTCCCCAATTAACGTTTGGAAAATATGTAAATATATTTTTATTTTATCAAATCTTTTTTTGGAATTATTTAGATTTTCATAAATGTTCTTTACACCATAAATGTTATTTTTAAACAAGCGTATGAGTTTAGTCATATATATAATGGCTATTATATCTATGGTTTAGTAAAGACTAGCATATCACTATCGGACACGCAAGACAAAGATGTATATTCACCTGATAGTTTAAAAATGGAAAGTTACAAGTTATCGGCCGTGTACACTTCTCAATACCCTCAGAGGTGAAGTGATGCACGAACTTGCTTTATGTAATTCTGTAATAAGAGTTTAAAAGCCCGACAGGAAATCGCTTGATTACCTGGACGTGTCAACTCACAATACCTCTGGGAACAATTCCTTTAGCAATGCTGGTGATCAGATAAGGGAAGGTCCGAATTTATTTAAATAAGATTATTACATAAATGAATTATGAACACACTAGATTTTCGAAAACATTTTTACACGGAACACTTAATTTATCACTTTGAACTTTTTAACTAATTTCCATTAACATTTCTTGTTTCAAAAACTTAGTAAAAAAAAACAGTTTCAAAACGACAGACCATAGTACTAGTTATTCAAAAAAAATTATATATAATTACATTTTCCGTATCAAGTTAGTTAGGAAAGGTTGCATGCACAACCATGTCTATTATAATCTTTTTTTGTGACCCGGGAAACTGTTTAGGCTTTCCTTGTCGGGTAAAACAACCGTACGCTTGACAAGATATCGACACTCAATTACGGCTACGTTAGGTTACTGCTTGTTTTGGTCCTTTGTGGTTTATAGATATATCGTGGTTTCTATTCAGGGATGATGTCAAAATGGCCGCACGCGGAGAAGTGATACTCTTAATTTAAAATCGATGGTGATCTCTTATCTAGCAGAATTAAACTTTAATATTTATGAATTTGTGGTTTTTTATACATAATCAACATAATATCAATTTTTCATTTTTTTGCGAAGTTTCCCTTTAAATATTTAAAATTAATTTTATTTCTTATGTTTCTTTGAAAATAAGAACATTACAGGATGATGATGTTAAAACATTGTGTCTTTGACAACTTTAATTTTAATTTATATTCTTAAATCACTGAAATGTATCCAGGAAATGGAAATAAAAGCCTACATGGCCTAAAACAATAAGAAATAAGAAAAAAATTGTTTATGGAATGGGTATTGCTCATTGTTGAAGCCCGTATCTTGACCAATAGTTGCTTACATCCGGGTCATTTGGACACTGGTGGATAGTTGTCTCAGGTGACAATCACATCACACCTCATTTATATTTTTGTATTGATTGATTTTGATGTATTTTGACATTTACAGAGGAAACACACCAGACACAAAAGGAACAGCATTTGTAGTGTATGAAGACATATTTGATGCTAAGAATGCCTGTGATCATCTGTCTGGATTTAATGTCTGTAATAGATACTTGGTGGTGTTATATTATCAAGCTAACAAAGTAAGTACATTTACAGATCCAATCATTAGTTACAAGAAAACTTGGTGCCATCTCAGTAAAACAAATTTTCTTGATGGATTTACTTTCATTTATTAGTCGACTTGTCCCCTACTGACAAAGTCGAAGGGGACTTTAGGTTTGCACTCTGTCTATATACAAAAGAAGATGTGGTATGATCGCCAATGAGACAACTCTCCACAAGAGACCACATGACACAGAAATTAACAGCTATAGGTCAACGTACGGCCTTCAACAATGACCAAAGCCCATACCGCATTGTCAGCTGTCTGTCCATCCGTCAGTGTGGCAAATCAGTTTTCCACACTTTTTTTCTTTGTGCTTGAAGATATTGATTTGGTATTTGGTGTATTGTTTTATCATGACAAGTTCGAATTTTGTTCTGGTCTGATGAATTTGTGCAGAGTTATGGTCCTTGGACTTAGAAAATTCATTTAAACAATCAGTTTTCCACACTTTTTTTCGTCATGCTTGAAGATATTGATTTGATAATTGGTTTATAGTTTTATCATGACAAGTTACAGATACAGTTTGAATTTTGTTCCAGTATAATGAAGTTTGAACTCGTAGGGGACTATGTATTGCCATGCAATACTCTCAAAATTCTTGTTTTTAATTGATGAATAGAAAAATCATAATTGGTTACATCATAGAAAGCTATACAGGTAGTTGATACGTGATAATGTAGCCTAAGAATACTTCTTAATTCAGCTTTGAACCATAAAACAACAAAATTTTATCCTAATGAAAGTAAATAGTCATTCATACACTGTTGTTTCTTTTCTTTTTTATGTTGTATTTTATCTGTTTGTTAGGGTTTATCTTTCCCCGACCTCATTTACATGGATCGTTGTTAATGTTTAGTTTTTGTGATACTGGTATTAATATCTTATAAAAACTTTTATCTTAAAGACTTTCAACAAAAAAATCAATTATGATCAGTAAAGCAGCTGAGACATTTCGGCATGTTCACTTGTGTGTATATATATCACTCATAACTTAATAATTATCTATTGTTCCAGGCTTTCAAGAAGACTGATGATGTGAAAAAACAAGAAGAAATCACAAAAATGAAACAGAAATATGGACTGACAACACCTGAACGGAAATAACAAAAACATAATACTCATTCTCACTACTTCATTATCAAACTTTTCATTGTCAATCATAAAATCACTTGATAGGAAAGAAAAAGATTATTTTAATGTGTGAAATCACTTGATAGGAAAGCAAAATGCTTGTTTGTTTAAAATTGAACAAACAGCATTATTTACATGATTTAGTTGTATTTGAACTTGTGAAATTTTAAGAGGAAAATCTGTTTGTTAAGAAGTAAACTAGAATCATTGTTGACTTCCAGTTTATTCTGATATTGTAATCTCTATTGTTTGATATTGTTATTGAAATAAGGAGAAATGGACATTGGAAAGAGAGCTAATCATAACTTATGAGTACAGTTTTGTATTTGAAGATAATTCAATATCACAGATCTAGAAATAAATGTACATTCCTATATTTATTAAAGTTGAACATCAGGATGTGTCATTTGTGAACAATTTATATAAACATCTGCATACATTATCAAAATGTAAAATTTTATAAATTCATAGTTGATAGATCAACTTTCATAAACACCTTGTCCATATTTTGTATACTCAATTTACGTAACATACTTTTAGATGAAAAGTTTTGAGTTAGTAAACCAAAGGGTATTATTTATATATGATATCATGTGCAATATAAATTGAATTTATGATTTCTTACCAAACATTACTAAAGACAACTTCACATGTATCTTTATAACTTATACAAAAAACAGAGATATTAATGAGTTAATTCCATTATATTTTATTGAAAGGTTCTATTTTGTAATATAGATGTGTTGTGTTGGTGTTTATTTATATAAAAAAACAAATTACAGAATTTGTCATGGTGTTTTATTTATGAAAATATGAAATTGACAATTATAAGCTTTAAAAAAAAAAAAAAAATCTTGAAATTTAATGAGTATTGTGATACCATCATAAATTTCAGTTCTTCAGAAAAATTTCAAATTCTAGAAAATATTTCAGTTTTGAAATGTTTGTTTACTTTTAACATTAGCACATTTCAATTTCAATTTCAATATCTGATATTTTGTAGTTTGCAAATGTATGATTATTTTAACATTCTTTTATAATAAATATATACTAAACTTTACAGTCTAATATTATACCTTGTTGTTAACGGCAGCAAAAATAATAATGATAACACATTCCTTTTTCCACATGTCTTAAACATATCTCTGGTTAGAAGTATACAAAATAGTTATAATGCTGTTGTCTGTCAATTGCTAAAAAATCTAGTTTAAACCTGTCAGATGTTCATGTAATTACAATATGTTGCTACTTTCATTTGGTTGGTGTACTTCAAAATAGATTTAATTCATCATGAACTGTGTTTGGAAACCAATGTCCAATGTAAATATACAGAATGTTAGATACGGAAGAAAGAATTGAATGATTTCAGTCATGTTTCAAACTGTGATAAAATAAACAACTTCTTTGGTATTCTTCCCTGCAAAACAATCAGATTTAATGAAACGTAACAATGGTTCCAGGTTTTTACTTACATGGGCAACACAACAGGTGCAATATGTGGAGAAGGATCACCTCACCCTTCCAGAACACTTAAAATAACCCCTGGTTTATGATTGTGTTTGCATTGCTCACTCTTAAGGTTTCTATGTTGTTTTGAGTACTGTTATTTGTCATTTTACATTGTTTGGTTTTTTTTTGTCATGGCATTGTCAATTTGTTATTGACTTATGAATTTAACTATTCCTTTGGTATATTTTGCCTCTCTTTGTCAATGGCCTTTCAGTCCGTCAGTAGAAGTGAAAACTTGTTTGGATGGTGTATCCTAAAGAAAGAGGCATGTAGTTGAATGAATTTCATACTTTTGATAAATATCAGAATTTCTGGGAATCTAAATCAGAGGCGGATTTAGGGGGGGGGGGCCCTTTTTGGGGAAAAATTTGGTGGATAATATAGGGAATCACTGAAACATGACTGGAGCGGGCCCCCTCTTAGGCAGTCAGTGGGCCCTCACTTAAGAAAATTTCTAGATCCACCACTGTAAATATTATTTACTGCATTTCTGCAGTAGAGTGTATCACAGTGCTTGTTTAATCTTTCTTTACTGCTGTGCAATATCTATTTTTAAAGGACAACTATAATGTTCCTTTATTACCGTGGAGAAAAAGGGCTTACTTACCATGTACGCTTGGTTACCAAACTTTACCTGAATGTTCCTTCGGGAATCTACTGATAGTAAAAAAATGTATCTGGAGAATCGATCCTGCAATTAACATGGCCACAGTTGGTACATGTATAAATAGAACAAGGATAAAACTCCAGTAATTGGCTGATATCTCTAAATTTAAATCATTTAGAGTAAACCTATCGGGGTATAAATTATCTGCAGTGCAATGTCTGAGGGTGTGGATGGGGGCTTACAGAATAGAGAATATTGGGCAAAAAATATAAAGAATATAGAAAAATGGACCAAAGAATAAAAAATAGAGAAGAATGGGGTGGTTAAATATAAAGCATAGTGAATAATGGGCAAAAAATATTGAAAAATGACCTAAAAAATTAAAGAATACAAAAATGAAAGACCCCAATCCAGACCCTCATAGGACTTACCAGAAACACTCGAATTAAAGCAGTTGAAAGGTCAAAACACATGAGGTTGAAGAGCATTAAAAACTGAAAATTCTGAAAACTTGTACCAAATACAACTTAGACAATCTATTCGTGGGAGTAGAAAGGCGTTTGTAGAAAATGAACATATTAATGATAATACATATCAGCACAAATATACTGGCAACTGGGATGGTAGCATAGGTATACTTGGGGACAGGATAATTTTTGTTCTGCCCCTCACAGCAGTCACTGATATATTATATAGAGATATATAATAATATCAGTCATGTCAGTGACCGCTGTAAATAGTAAACTTGGAATTGATAGTAAATAGCAAATATAAGTTATTTCTAGTATATTTCTGTCCATATAATACAGAAAAACGCTAAAATAATTGAAATTAATAGAAAACAAAAAATAATGGATTTTGGAAAAAAGGTTGAGTGCAAAACAAATTGTCCTGTCCCCAAGAACCTATGAATGGTAGTACATTTTTGTAATTGAAATCTACATACAATTCAATATTGACGTAAGTTGACACCTTATAAGAGTAGTTGGCCTTGAATGACGTAGATAGTTCAAATAAAAGAAATAAGGGAGAGTTTCCCTTGTATTAATTTCGCTTTTAAATGTTCCCCTGTGGAATACTGTAATAATGTTGTGTGTTCCGCAGGGGAACATTTCACAAAATGATTAAATGATTATGAATAATTACGCTTGCAAATGCAGAACTTGCCGGTTCCCCAGGGAAACTCTCTGTAGTGTGACTTTCATCTACGATCTAACTAATAATACCGCTCCGATTATACTATTTAAGGGGTACAATTAATGCCATTAACTGGGACTATTATACTAAGTAGTTAGTTAGTATCATGAATACTGTGGATTCATTTATTTTCGTGGGTATCAATTTTCGTGGATAGAGAAAAAAAGACGTTTCGTGGTATACGTAAATTCGTGGATCGCTGATTACAAAAAAAAAAAAATCAGATACGTAATTCGTGGATTTCTTTTTGATTTTGGAGATCATATAACCTCCTTGGTTTAATCAATAATAAAACAAACAAAAAAGAAGGTATTCATTGAAAAAGTTTTGAATACACCTTATCGCTAATCCCGCTTGACCCGAGAATCAGTCCCGCTCGAACTTTTGACGTCATACAACAATCACTTTTCCATTGTGGCGTCAGATATTTTCTATTATGACGTCAAAATTTTACGGGAACTTGTGTGATGTGCAGTAATGGCGGACAAATAGCGATAAGGTGTATTGTCAAAATCCTCGCTTGGTCATTCTAGGTTAAAGTGTTCATTGAAAACTTCTTTTACAATAATGGACAGAGACAACTAATTATTTGTTTGTTTTACAATTTATAAATTCTTGTCGGAATTTTATAAGGCATTCAAAACTCTATGATTGAAAGCTCATTTCCCTAATCACGATATAATTAACAGTCATATAAGTAAAAGGTGTGAAAATAAATGTTCCTGTCATTAACAATATTACCTACGGGCAATATCCCCGTACTTAATCCTATCGATTTTTTATCACCAGTAAACCAAACTATGACACGGTAATTAACAACTTGCAGTTATTTTCCATGAACAGTTTTAATCAATTTCAAAAAGTAAATTATTACCGATATTCGATATATTTATTATTGATTTAATCAAAATACTTGTATCTTCTTTCAATAAAAACACGTGTTATGTTACAATGTTTATCGCTAGTCAACACTATACTAGAACAGCATAACATAACCGGAAATAAACATCCGACTCCATACACATTTCTCGGGACTATTCTTCGTTGAATTCTTAAATTCGTGGTTCGCTGTGACCCACGAAACCCACGAAAATTGGTATACCACGAATAAAAATGAATCCACAGTAGTCCCAGCCATTAAGAATCTCCTCAGTGGCGGATCCAGGGGGTTCCGGGGGTTGGAACCCCTAACTTTTTTTTTTACGATCAATGCATTTGAATGGGGACATATAGTTGGAATCCCCCCTTTATCCTGGGTTGGTACCCCCCCCCCCCCTTTTTTATACGACCGCAAAAATTAAAAAAATTTTGGTCGTATATTGGTATGACGTTGGCGTCGTCGTCGTCGTCGTCGTCTGGCGTCGTCCGAAGACACATTGGTTTTCGCACTCTAACTTTAGTTTAAGTGAATGGATCTCCATGAAATTTTACCATAAGGTTCAATACCACGAAAGGAAGGTTGGGATTGATTTTGGGGGTTATGGTACCAACAGTTAAGGAATTAGGGGCCAAAAAGGGGCAAAAAATAAGCATTTTTGTAACTTCCAGACAATAACTTGTGTGTAAGTGTATGGATCTCTCTGACATTGTACCACAAGGTTCCATATCACAAAGGGAAGGCTGTAATTGATTTTGGGGGTAATTGCCTCAAAATTTTAGGAATTAGGGGCCAAAAAAGGGGCAAAAAACAAGCATTTTTCTAGTTTCATGACAATAACTTGTGTGTAAGTGTTTGGATATTTCTGAAATTGTACTACAAGGTTCCATATCACAAAGGGAAAGCTGGAATTGAGTTTGGGGGTAATTGCCCGAAACGTTTAGGAATTGGGGGCCAAAAAGGGGCAAAAAATAAGCATTTTTCTAGTTTCCAGACAATAACTTGTGTTCAAGTGTATGGATCTCTCTGAAATTGTACTGCAAGGTACCATACCACAAAGGGAAGGCTGGTATTGAGTTTGGGGGTGATGAATCATAAGGGGGTTCAAAAAATTTGGGAGGGGGGATTTTTTTTTTTTTTTTTTTTTTTTTTTTTTCCTTTTTTTTTTTCTTTTAAAATTTTCCATTTTAAGTTGGTTATTTCTGATTAATATTTAAAAGCAAATAATAATGATATGGTAGGAGATACACACCAAACAGGATGTGTAAATTATTATATAATAAGTATTGTGCAATAGCAAGAAATTTTCAATTGCACAGTATTGCACAATAGCAAGAAATCTTCAATTGCACAGTATTGCGCAATAGCAAGAAATCTTCAATTGCACAGTATTGCGCAATAGCAAGAAATATCCAATAGCACAATATTGCGCAATAGCAAGAAATTGTCAATTGTACAGTATTGCGCAATAGCAAGAAATATTCAATTGCACAGTATTGTGCAAAAGAAGATACTTCGTATAAATTGCTTATTTCTTGATCAATTTCAATGGGGTTTTATTCTTGAATTCTTGGGGTTCTTTAATATGCTGAATCTAACCGTGTATTAAGTTTTTGGATTTTGGGCCACATTTTTAAATTGGTCCACATTGAGGTCCAAAGGGTCCAAAATTTAACTTTGTTTGATTTCATCAAAAATTGAATTATTGGGGGTCTTTGATATGCCGAATCTAACCGTGTATTTAGATTCTTAATTTTTGGTTCCGTTTTCAAATTGGTCTACATTAAGGTCCAAAGGGTCCAAAATTAAACTTAGTTTGATTTTAACAAAAATTTAATTTTTTAGGTTTCTTTGATATGCTGGATCTA